AAGTGCCCGAGGAAGACCATTCCGAGTAATTTCAATCATTTTTGTCAGTGTTGGTTGAATCATGTTGAAATTTGTTGTGCAGATGTGTTTTTGTGGGACGTTCGCATGTCTGGGACGTTCGCTTATCATGTACGTTACCACATGGAGAAAAGGATGATGTGCACAGACGGCAGGAGCATGACGGACAGCGGGTCAAGAGCGGGTCAACAAATCTCGTGCCTGAACTACTGCGGTACCTCCGTGTACTACTCCGAATACAGTTATCGGTCGGGTGGTGGGCCATTCGTCTCCAACAATGCGAGCCTCGACGACGTGGTCCCCTCAATGATAGACCTTGGGCCCGGTGAGAATTTGATGATGAGTTTGACATCTTGAAGACTACCTTATATAGCGTTGAGTCTGAGGAATATGTGCAAGGCACCTTCCCTCAACCCCAATTCTCAAGATCAGGGACTGCGCGCCTGGGCCCTTGAAAGATCATCGTGCGCAGCAACGTTAGGTGCCAACGTTAAGCCTGTTACGCCATTGGTCTGACCCACAATTCATGTTTCTACGCAGGACCTTAGTGGTCACCTTCGCAGCTCGGCATTTGTGTGATCAGCCGAATCAGCCGGCTGGGCAAGCGGGAAACCGGGGAGGTGGGGTGGGACGGGGGGCAATTCTGAAAGAAATTTGGAAAGTCTCTGGGAGCCTCGGCGCAGTTGAGTGCGGTAAGGTGCTAAAGGTAAGCAAGGAGGTAGGTAACGTAAGTCGCGAAGCAAAGTTTTGGTGATCACCATCACTCAGGCTGACGGAAGCCGAGGACTCGGGGCAGGCCCGGCCTTGCTACGCCATCAGACCCGACGCCAGCCATGAGAAATCTAGGTACGGAGTTCTGTATTAAGATGTGGCCCTCTCCACAAATGCTACCTTGAGTGGGAATTTTGGGAATAACGTAAGTAAAGCACAGACGGGACCAGACAGTATAGCGCGTATAGCGCACTTGCAAAGTTCCCCGTTTCCCGGTTTTTATGGAAAGTCTGAGCGCACGCTAGTGAGACAGCTGCGTGGTTCCAGGTTGAGGTGAAGGGTTTCGAATTGTTGGGCGGGTTGCCTTCAGGCGGCACCGAGATAAGGGCGGCCAAAGAGCGGGATTCCACGCCACGGCAGGAGCTTTCGCCCCAGCCCCGGCTATCGCTGCGGGTCCTGCTGACAAGCCTGGGTTCTGAGCTCGGGTCTCTCAACATTAAGACTCCCCGCTTCCTGACATGCGAGCCCTCTCTCGATTAACGTTAGTTCGATTCTCGGGTCCCCCTTGTTCGTCGTCTTGATCTCCGGCAGGATGGAGCAGAAGGGCCAGGGCTTCCCCCTGGTGGCAAGCCGCCGGCCGATGCTGCTGCAACAGCTTGGGGTGAGAGAGAGGGGAAAGGGCATGCTGATCCGGTACCGAACTCAAATAGCTGAGGGATCCGGGTCGGGTCCTCAGTGCATCGTTCAGGTCTTGATTCCCACCAACCTCGGGTTTTGAGTGGACCGGATCCGGCTCCCCTTCCCTTGTGCCTCGACTGCGGACATCAACCGCGTTTCCGCATCCAAGACTCCAGTTCGACGGGGACGGGACTGCGCCCCGGATCAGCGGCCAGAGTAACATTCGGTGCGGGTAGCCAGAGAGAGATATATGGCTTCAGCAACAGGACAGCCTCCGAATGCCTTGGAGGACCGGAGAGCCACCGTCATCGGCTCGGTAGTTTTTTGTCTGGCGTGGGCTACCGCCATGGTTGGCCTGCGGCTGTGGACCCGCGGCGTCGTCATCAAGCAGCTTGGGATGGACGACTGTTTGTGTCTTGCTGCCCTAGTGAGCCAGCCCCTCCGCCCTTCTGGTAATGTAGGGCCGGGACTGACAACTGATGCCAGCTTGTCACGTACGGCTCGGGCATCGCCATCGTCCACATGACCAAATATGGCCTGGGCAGGCACATCTATGTCATGGATCTGGAGCACATCCCGCTGTATCTGAAGGTGAGGGCTTGCACAAGCACCTTGGCACACTCTGCTTACCGACACTGACTCCCAAACCCCTGCACAGGACTTCTACGTCTCCATTGTCATGTACTGCGCGGCGTTGCTCTTCATCAAGATGGCCTTCCTTTTCCAGTACTACCGCGTACTGGCAGTGCAGAGGATGCGCAACGTCTACCTCTCCTGCATGGTCATTGTCGGCGGCTGGGCGCTGTCGCAGGTCTTGGTGGGAATTTTTACCTGCCATCCTGTCTCGGGCTTTTGGGACTCGAGCCTCAAGGCCACCTGCATCCCCAACATCCCGCAGTGGTACATCAACGCGGCCGGCAACATCATCACCGACGTCGTCGTCTTTGCCCTGCCGATGCCGGCCCTCTGGTCGCTGCAACTGGCCCGGTCGTCCAAGGTTATCCTGCTGGGCATCTTTAGCCTGGGCTTTTTGTACGTTGCCCTCCCTTTTGTCTTTCATTGCCTCAGAGAACCTACCAAACTGACACAGGCGCCGCATCGTCCGCAGCACAGTCATCATCTCCATCATCCGTATCCGCTATCTCAAGCTCTTCGAGGACTTTCCTTGGGAGAACGTCGATTCGTCCCTCTGGTCCGTCGGCGAGCTCACCTCGGCCATCACCTGCGCCTGTTTGCCCACCATGCGCCCGCTCATGAGCCGCTACTTCCCGGGCCTGCTGTCGTCGGTCGGCCGCACCAACAGGGGGTATGCCAACGCAAGCGCCTCGGCGGCGGCTGGTATGAGCGGGCGCCGGACAGCGGGGGCACCAACGGCCCTGGAGTCCGGATTCGTTGGAGGGCGGGCTACCCGGTCCGGTTCCAAAGGGGCGGCCGATGACGGGTCCGCGTCCATGACCGGGAGCGAGGTCGAGCTTGCCCAGACGGCGTCCGGCGGTTTGAGAAGTAACCCATTTGAGGTGCATGTCGTGCACGAGGTAAAGATGGGGGTCGAGAGGGGGCGCGCCAGCAGCCCCGCTGGGTTTGGTGTCAGGGGGTATATTTCGCCTGGTAGCCGGAACTTGTGAGGTGGCGGATGGGACGTACTCTGAAGGGGTGATTCAATGGGTTTGTAACCTTCTTTTCGTGTCCGTGATACCTACCAGTAATGACTCTGCAATGACCCTAACTATTTCTATAGCACGCATCTACTTCTATATTCTATGCACCATCACTTCGTCTTTCTATCTTCCACCTCGGCCAAAATGGCAGATGCAGCCACCGTAGCACCCGGCGTCCTAGCACACAAGGCCGCAAGTTCCCGGACTCTGCTCCTCATCGACTCTGCCCGAGGCCCCAGCACGACGTCAATGAGGATAGGCGCAAGTTCATACGCTGTGCACAGCGGCATGGTTTTCTTGTTGCCCCAGCGGCCGATGCGCAGCACCTCGGCCCTGCTTGCAAAGTCGTAGCAATCCAGCCAACTGGGAAGCACAATCTGGGGAACGCCGCAACTGTCTCACGTTAGCCTGACTCCGTCCCGCTTCCTTCGAGGGATCCGAATACTCACGTCACAGCATCATGGAACGAGTTCGCCCCGCCGTGGTTGATGGAGCACACCACGGTTCCAACCTCGAGGACCGCCGATGGCTGGGGCTTCACCCAGTCCAGAATGCGAATCCGGTCAGCCTCCATGAAATTCTGCAGAGCACGGTAGACCCTCGTGCCCGGCCCGGCCTCATAGGTGGGCGTGTGGGTAGGCTTGGCTCTCTTCAACTTCCACAGCACCTGCAGTTTCCCAGCGACGCCTCCGACGCCGCCTTCTTTCCGGGCATCGCCAGCCTCGAGCAGCTGACGGAGCGTGGCCGCCATCTCGAGCGCCTCGTCCTCGTCCATGGCCCTGTGCGTCCCCAAGCTGATGAACACAGTCGGGCCGCGCCTCAGCCACGAATCCAGCTCCGGGTCGACCTCGGCCGCCGAGGGTGCGGGCCGGATCACAGGGCCGCACGGGGTCAGGTGCTTGGGGATGTAGGCGAGCGGGAAGTCGGTCTCGGGCCGGTTGCCGACGAGGATATTTTGCCCCGGCAGCGGGCTGAGCATGAGCGTGTCAAACGACACGACGTCGGCGCCCAGCTCGCGCTTGATGTGGGCTTTCATGGCCTTTACGCGGCGGTCCGTGAGCGAGACATAGATCTGGTAGAAGCAGTAGAAGATGTTGGCCGGGATGGCCGTCCACGGGACGGGGAACTCAAAGGCGGACCCCATGCTGTACGAGTAAGCATTCCAGCTCGGGACCAGATGGGGAAATGAAGGGGGGAAGGCGACTGCCCACTCACGCAGGAAACTTCCACAGCATGGCACCCCACGGCTGCAGCGCGGCAGAGAAATCCTTGAGCGTGTTGGGCGAAAAGACGAGGTGCTTCAGCTTGAGGTGGCGGCAGGCGGTCAGGACTGGGGAGAAGAGGGAGTCGACGACAATGATGTCGGGCTGGACCTCGTCGACGACTCGCGCAAAACTTTTGTAAACCTGGATGAACTCGGGGCCGCTGTGGGGCATCAACAGGACCATAAAGACTCGCAGAATCGCCACCTTGGTCGAGAAGCTCGGGTGCTCGTCTAGGAGAGGACCCAGGTTTTCCGCTTCAGGCTTGTTCTGGACCGCCTCGATCATGCTCAAACCATCGAGCAGGTGGAAGGTCCATGGCCGGGCGCCCTTTGTGCATTTCACCGAGTACTCGGACGCGGAAGAGAAGTCCTTGGAGATGGAACTGAACGAGGCGAAGTGAATGTCAACGTCCGCATCAAGCGCTTGCAGGGCGTGTCCGGCGGCGAGGAAGACATTCGCCTGCCCGTGCTCCGCGTTGGTTGCCAATAGGACCTTCTTCATGGTGGCGGGCGAATATGATGCAGCGTGACCTAGAGGTCAACCGAGGAGGTACTCTGGCGAATGTCGAAGGACGGGTGGAAGATGGACAGAGCGGTCTGGCGGAAGCCGGGTGTGGGCTTGATAAGATAATATTGGGCCCCTGCATGGAGTTGCGGCACAGCGAGCTGATTAGCGTCCGTACCACCCTGGGGCCTGGAAGGATCCAAGGATTCCAGGCTGATGTTGCTTTTGGCGCAGGGACACGTCCATGGGAGCATGTCGGACGCTCCATCCGGATCTGAGATTCCAGGCCCACACACGTACCTTCGAGCCCATTCTCCATACCGACCGAGTACGGATCTCCCTACCAAAGATTTTACCACACCGCCTATGATTAGCTTACTGGCTATAGGAGAGTTCTCTGCAAAGCAAAACCACTGCGATTTTAAGGCGGTGAGGCAAGACTTTTAATAGGGACCTCCGTACTCCGTATCTGATTCTTCAAAAAAAAGGCGTCGGGTTGAGTAAGGGATGCCGCGCCAGACAGAGCTAAACGCTCGGTTATCTGGCCAATGTGCCGTTAGCGTCTGACGTGAGATTTGACGTGAGATAACGTTATGGTCCACAAATTTACCCGGCCCTCTTGGGACTTCCAAATCAGCTCCATCGAATTCCGCACACGACTGGGAAGTCAAAGAAGAAGAAGCTATTGGTACATACCTACCACTTACAATCTAACCCTGGTTTGTTCGTTAACGTGGCACATAGCGGGGTACGAGACATAATTTGGGACGAGAGAAAGCAAGCAAGGAACGTACCTTAGAAAAGAATAAGAGAGGGAAAAAGCTAAGATAAGTAAGTTAGAATATAAAAGACAAAAAAAGTAAGAGAAGGAAAAGGAGAAAGATAAAGATGAAGAGAAAAGGAAGAGAGAATATAAAAAGGTTTACGTAGGTAAAGGAATGTTGAACAAGAGAAGCTAAAGATAGAGAGGAAGAGGAAGATAATTTTAAAGTTAAAGAGAAAAAGAAGGAAAGAAAGAAGTATAACATCATCACGCTCTGTATGCCCCCGCACTCTTCACACCTCCTTCAACCACTTGATGTTGGCTGCTTTGGAGCGCTGAAGCAGGCGTACGGTCGCCAAATCGAGGAGTTGATGCGCATGCATAAACCACGTGAGTAAGCTCGAGTTCCTCTGCGCCTTCCGGGAGGGCTTCTTTGTCTCTATGACAGACAAGATTATACGGGTGGCTTTGCAGCTGCTGGCCTTGTGCCGTTCAATCCAGAGAGGCTGCTTTCCAAACTAGATGTAAGGCTCCATACACCAACACCCCTAAACTCGCGGGCCAGCACTCCACAAACTTGGGTGTTCCAGACGCCATACAACCCCCAACAAACCAATTCGCAGTCAACGTTCCTCAAGACTCGCATCGTCAATCATCAAAACAGCTCTCCAACATCAATATTAGCTGCAATGGGCCAGCTTGCCAAGTGTACGATGGCTGTAATACAACAGATGACCCTCCTTCAGTCAGAGGTCCCTTCGCTTCGTAAGGCCAACGAGGCACTAAGTAAGCGCCGGAGAGCGAAAAGAACACGCATACGGCTTAGAAATTTACTTGCGGTACAAGATGCAAAGGATCTACTTGACCAGAAGGCCATGGGTGGGGAGGTGGCGCAAGAAATGCAGCTGGATAGTAGTGGTGCAGGGAGACGACGTACAAAGGTTCGGTGCTGTGGCGTATACGGTAAGCCCGGACATAATGCTCGCACCTACCAGGAAGCCGCAGAATCGTCTGACGTACCTGCTTCCGTTGTAATTGTAGTTTAATTTTTAGTATTGTTGCCGTATATTCAAGGATGGTTGTTAACAGTGGCCCGGAGAGGAGGTGGGGGGTCATACTCTTATATGGGTCACTCGCTTCTAAGATACGTAATGTGAAGTTGTGAAGATGAGGTGTACTCTGTGATACCTACTATATAAGTTCCGCGGTAACAAACAAGCTTGAGTTGAATTGTAAGCAATTGTTACAGCCTGCCTCTGAGAGCAGCCCTGAATCAGACCAGCTCGACCATCTCACTGAAGGACCCGCGAGACAGACCTTCTCCCTGCATCAGTCCATGCACCAATGCCGCCCCGACAACTGTGTAAGTCCCATCGTCGGTCGGTCGAAGAACCATAGGTGCCGGCACCCCGCGCAGCAAAAAGATCTCGTCGCCGCACCTTACATCGAGAGGTCCAGTCCCGCCCAGCCCATTGTCGAGCCCAAAAAGACACTCCGATCGTTTTTCACGGACTCCAGCATGTCCTGGAGGTATTCGCAATGTCCTTCAGTATTCTTCATCTCCAAACCCCCCGCCCTCCCCCCATACTAGCACTAGCTTCTTGAAGAGACTCAGGTATGTCTCGCCAAGATGCCGCGTGTAAGCTGGATTTGAGACTGACGCACCGAAGCTCGAGAGAATCCCGGAAAGGGCGAACGATCTGCCGTGTGGTATGGAGCTGACACGCTCCAGGAGCGCGACTCTGATGCCTGCCTCTCGCGGTCAAGGAGACGTTCTCCGGTATGCCGCAGAAGCTCTTACTGAGAGTACCTCGCGATTGAAACCCTAACTATGCCTGATTCGTGAAATGAAAATGTCCTAGGCCATCGGTGCTGCAACGCTGCTGCACCAGTATCCTCCAGCCGAACCACACTGCAAGTCCAGGCGGAAACTGGCTGAGTTGGTGCCTTGCCGCCGCCGGCTCGTTACCACTGGCTCTATGAGCGGGTCTTAGCTTTGGGCAGAGACAGCCAGCCACACGTCGGAGCAGCTAACAGGTCCCACGCATCCGTAGAATGGCCGCCAAGCATGCGTATAATATACTGTAATTCTTCCAAAAAAAATCCCGGTCGGTGTTACGGATACTGCCAAGTTGGTCTACCGCAGGTGATCCTCCGGTCCCCAAAGAGACGAGTCCTGGAGGTATTAAGCTCGGGAGGCTTTAGCACAAGAATTTTTGCTACATGTAGGTCAAGTCCCAGGGAGTCCCATTTGCATAGTTCCAATTGCTCTCTCGTTCTCTCTTTGCCTCATCCTCACACACCAAAGAGGTACTATAGCACCGTGGACTCCCGTTTCAACTTTCAACACCCTCTAGTCGTCACCATGCGTCTCCCATCCTTACGAGCGCTCACTCTGCTACTAGTGGCCATGTTCTACTCCTTGGCGAGCTCGGCGACCGTTCTGCCCCGCCAGAGTAATATTACGTTGACTTCATTCTACTACGCAGGCACCGCCTGCAGCGCGGGAACCGTGTCAAGAAGCATGAACCGCGACGGATCGACCATCACATTCGGCTTCGATTTATTCGAAACGCACTACGGCCCCGGCTATCCGCCGGCAGAGAGGTACAAGAACTGCATCGTCTATTTTAGACTCAGCTACCCGCTCGGCAGCAAGTTCGAGATTGTGGGGACAACCTACCATGGCCAGGCCAGGCTGGATGCCGGGTGGAATGCCACGATCCAGTCGACCTACCTCATTTCCATCCCAGGAACAGGGAATGGCAGCACGGTGACCCGAGCCAGGACCACGAGTGAGCTTATCGGGGCCTACACGACGACAGACACCATTCCGGCCGGTTCGAAAATCGCCTCGTCCTGTGATTGGGAGGAGGCCCAAGTGCAGATTACCACGCGGGTGAAGCTGAGCACCAGCAGCGCTTCGGTTTCGGGAAGCTTGGATAATGAATCCCCATTTTCGCTTGGCTTTCAGCAGCTTCATCTGGGCTGGTCGGTCTGTGAGGATCAGATCAGCAAGCGGCGGTAGGAGGCAGGTGTCGAGATCTGCCAAAGCACCGGGATGTCCTTGTACTGAAGCAGACAAAGGAAGTGAGCCGGACTGAACTCGATGGAAGACATGGAAATCGAACCAACATTCGTTGTATACAACTTCGAGCGCCATGTGGACGACAGCACTTGGAAAGGAGTGCTGGGCCGTTGTCGGCTGAAGAGAGCTGCCTGGTTAAGGGCTGGGAGGGTTGCGTGGCTATGAGCTTGAACCATGAGATGACGAAGAGCCGTTGCGAGGTCCGTTGCTGACTATGCTGTCGCCATGGGGGCAAGATGGAAGTGTCTTATCACCGTGCCTCGGGTGTTCTCGAAGCAAGAATGGGGTCTTCGCTGTCTCACATCTTTCGGCACGGGGTCGTCTTCGTCTGAAGGGCGGTTCGGCTTGTCGGCAACTGCGAGGAATCAGTAAAAGAATTGCATCGGCCAGTTACAAGATCCAGCAAGCTCCAGATGACTGCCCTAACATCTGCTGTGCGCCTCACGCAGAATCAGATGACCGATTTCTGTTGTGGGGGTCCTGCCTTCCAGGTTGTGCAAAGCGACAGGGATGGAAACGACGGGGACGCTGGTGGCAGCTCTGCCTAGCGCTGCCACCACAGGTGTCCCGAAGGAGCATGGGCCGTGACTCACAGGTGAGAGTGCAACCAATTGCGCCAGAAATCAACCCACCAAACCGCCAATGAGACCACGCCCAATGAGCTTGGCCGGCTCAGGTCGCTCACCATGACTCCAACGCTGTCGCAGATGAGGCCAATAAGGGGCCCAGATATTGACAGAACGCGCCTTATCGTATAAGACTATGGTCTCTTCTCCATCATTCTCGTCTCTTCCCCCTTGTTTCGGTCAGACAATTTTCGCAATCACTCGCATCATCGGCGAGTCCTCACTGCGCTAGCCAGGCCCACAGCGCCGCCATTGTCACCGAGATTGACCGAAAGGAAAACAGACACAGGAAGGGAGAAGGTCAGCAAAACACAGTTCCGGATCGTCCATAAAAACCCTCAATGGGCCTCCTCCTCCATCATCCCACCTCCTTCAATTCGCTCACCTCCGGGACCTCTCCGGGCCTCTCGCCGGGTGGACCCACCACCCCGGAGTCCGACTTGGACCTCGACTCCGAACCGTCCGACTACTGTAACCTCCACCCTCAACTGCAAAGCCCACACCGACACTCACGATGTAGACGCGGTTTATCGAGCAACAGTAACCGAAACTGTCTCCGCTCTCAGCAGCACCGGAAACCGGGCCATCGGACCTCCAACCTCGGACGGCAAAGACCGGCCGCGGCCGAAACACACCATGTAAAGCCGCACAACCACTGGGCCGCAGACGCCGACGAGGGCCGTGCCCTGGCACGGTCCAACATTTTGTTACCTGGGGAGCAATACGCCCAACAGCTTGATCAGCAATACGGACATGAGCGGCACAGGCGCAGCAGCAGGGCTTCCTCCGACTCTTCTAGCTCCGACGGCCGACAGCGGCGGCCGCCGTCGTTGGAGAGGCAGGATGCGTTTCGCGATGAGAAAACCATTAAGCGGCGGCGGTGTTCGTGGGACGACACCAGTTCGGGTCTGAGCACAAACGTCCCAAGGAGTGTCAGAACGGAGGACGACGACGACGCACGTGAGGTCGCCGAGCTGTACCGCATGGGCCTGCTCTACGACGACGACGCACGTGAGGTCGCCGAGCTGTACCGCATGGGCCTGCTCTACGACGACGAGCACGAGCGTGGCGAGGGATTCTCGCTTGACCGGATTGTGCGGGAGGAGCCCGTGTATTCACTTCGTGTCAGGCCTGCCAGGCGGCGCGGGCGGGAGGATATTTTTGGTTTCGTCCCGTCGTTTACGGTGGACTTGGCGTTTCCGGCGTTTGCGGAGGACGAGTCGTTGGCGCGCTGGTTGATCTCAGGTTGCTCTTCCTCTCAGGGCATGTTGCCGGAAGAGCCGCGGCGTCCACGGCGCAAAGCCTTGCATGATACCCCCCGGTTAACGGTCATTTACGAGCTCGCCGACGATGCTATGTCTGTATTGCCGGCTGATGATTTTCTTGAGTTCTATTCTGTTTCGAATTTTTCAGGTTGCGTTGCGGGGGAGGAAGTTGGGCAGGATTGGGCAATCCTCGATAAGTATGATGGGAACGAGACTGCCCTGTCGGCAACGGCAGCAGCGACGATGGCGGTGGCGGATGATGAAGACGAGGAGGTCGACGATCCCTGGGTTGTGCTAGGCCATGATGGCTCGTAGCAGGTCCGCCACAGAGATCCCCGACTGCCCTGGATCTCGGCCGGCTATGCAGCTGCGTGCTGCGATCGGACTGGCCCTCGGACGGTCCAGTACAACCGGGGACGAAACTGTGGGGGTATCAAGCTGTGTGCTCGTGGCCCTGGCTGCTTGAGCTCGCTTGGTGTTGAGGGCGGTGGTCGAAGGGCGGGTTGTTGTACAACAACTGTATTGTGCCGTCATCTGGAGGTGCTGTTGGAGCGGGCGCTGCATTTCTTGAAGCATGTATCTGTATTTCATGATGTGATGGAAGTTGCTTTGTCTTTGGGGAACCTGTCAGCCTCGAGGTGAACTCTCTGTGCACAGAGAACTCTCTAAGCTGTCTTGGTTCACATGATTCCCCAGATTCTGAAAAACTATGATGGGCTGCCTCCATGTGAATCCCATTCAGGGGTGTGATGCCGCACCATGAAGATAGTTCAAGCTCCAGGCTTACTTTACTGCAGGACTACCAAAGCAGTCGATTCAGAAGCGTGCCAGATGCACTTCTGAGTAAGATAAGAAACTAACGGTATCTTTTTCGCATAAGCTTTGTAGAGTGCGAGGCTCCCATGTCCGGCAGAAGATACAGATGCGCCGATGCTACATTGAGTCAGCGACATCGGTCGATTCTCTGCCGCGTTTCTTACCTGAGCACTGGACCCTAGGGTCTTGTTTTTTTCGAAAAGTGGCAAGCTGCACGACGGGACGCCCTTCGATGCACAAAAAGAGCGGAGACCCGACCGGACTTCCGGCCGGCGTCGGCTCAACGCGGCCCTCCAAGAACCGCAATTCTTACCCGACCTGGAAGGCCCGTCCCCAAATCCAACACGCAGTTAAGTATGCCTACCTGGTAAGCACATTATAGCGCACTTCCTCGTCGACTTACCGACAACCCACCTCCGACGATAGCCATCTCGTGAGGATCCCCCGAACAAGCGACAACCCATCGCCATGGCCACTCCAACACCCGTCCCCTCCACCACCGCCCTGGCGGCCCAAGCCAAAGCCTTCAAATCCCTCCACAACCCAGGCAACCCGCTCGTCCTAGCCAACGCCTACGACGCGACCTCGGCGCGCATCATCGGTTCTCTGTCCGGCTGCCGCGCCCTCGCCTCCGCAAGCTGGGCGCTGGCCAAAACAATCGGCACCGATGACGAGAAGCTCACACTCGAGCAAAACTTTGCGCTCCTCACCCCTATCGCAGCTGTGGCGCGCGAGCTGAACCTTCCTCTGACGGTCGACATTCAGGACGGGTACGGCGACCGGCTGGACGAGGTCATTCGTCGGGTTATTACTGAATTGGGCGCTGTCGGGGTGAACCTGGAGGATTCGAACCATGAGAGCGAGGCCATGATGGAGGAGGTGGAGGCCGTGAAGAGAGTGCGGCGGGCGGTGGAGGTTGCGGTCGAGGCCGGAGTGCCGGACTTTGTGGTCAACGCCCGGTCGGATACGTTCTTGATGGGTGGGGAACTGGATGAGTCAATCCGGCGCGGGAAGAAGTATCTTGAGGCCGGGGCTACGACGATTTATGTGTTTTGGCCGCCCAACAAGGAGATGGCGGAGGCGGACGTGAAAAAGGTGGTGGATGCATTCGACGGGAGGGCGAATATCCAGCCGCGCAAGGTCTCACAGGTGCAGACCAAGGCCCTGACTGTGGCCGATATAGCTAGGTTGGGCGCTGCGAGGATCAGCGTCGGGCCGCAGTTGTATCGCGCTGCTACTGCGGCGCTCGAAGCGGCGGCGAATGAGTTGTTTGCAGGTGGTGTTTAGATGGGCACGGCAGGCGGGAAGTCTCACAACGGAGTCACAAAATTAAGCGATGAGTCACAACTATACAGTAGATTACGGATCGAAAATGCAACCAAGAAATCAACCTGGGAGAAAACCAATTGTTTGAAATGAGATTCCTCGATAAAGTGCGAGTTAATTGAAAGCCAAAAAGGCGGGGCCGAGCCAGGGCTTGAACCTGGGACCACTTGCAGGCTGAATTCAGAACCCAAAGCAAGTATGCTACCACTACACCACACGGCCTTAGTTGGGATACAATTAACCAGCTGGTGTTTATGAACCAACACAAGGAACGAGACGCCAACACAATCCCTAATTCCAGAGACAATGCTTCCTTCCTCCAGACTTGGCATGAACAATATACTGATTGTATTGAAATCACGCACTTCGCAAGAGGCGATTAAATTCATCTGCTCCTCGGGGTATTATCAAGCCCCCAGCCCTTGGCCCTGAATTCAGGTTTGCTAGTTACCAGATTTCTCAATCTTACCCTGATATGAACCGGTGTACCTCAGCACTGCTTCAGCGCAGTCCCCGCCTTCAACTCGGCCAACATGTCATCGCTCGCCTTCTGCGAGATCATAAACGTCGACACAGCCGGGAACACGCCCGGGATCCTCGCAAAAGCACTGGCGTCCACCACCCTGAGCCCGCTGACCCCGCGCACCCGGAACTTGGAGTCCAGCACAGCCATCGGGTCGCTCTCCGCGCCAATCTTGCAGGTCGACGTCGGATGATGGCCAAACGTCTGCTTGTGGATCCAATCCTCGTCCTCCTTTCCGCAGTACCCGTTCGCATCCGGCCCACCGGCCCTGGCGCACGGTGGCTCGACCGTCGTGATGCCCACCCGCTTGTACACGGTCCGGATCCACGCGACCGTGTCCTTCATGGCTTCGAGGTCGTACTCGGCTCCCCTCGCGTAGTGGTTGAAATTGATCTCGGGTGTGTCCATCGGGTCGGCGCTGCGCAGCTTCACCCAACCCTTGTTGTTGACGCTCGACCCCTTGACCATGCTCACGCCGTACGGCTGTGGCGGATCGGCGGGAACCCGCACCGAGTTGTCGGGCCAGAACCCCCGGAACAGGAATCCCTGCCCGCCCATGAGAAACATGTCGCGCTCGCCGTGCGCCGGGTGCCGCGTCTTGTACATGGCCACGCCCGTGTTTCCGCTCCCGCCGCTGCCCGTCCCGACGATGGGCATCTCCTGGTTGTCCATCAGGTTCTGGCCGACGCCGGGCAGGTCCTTGATTACGGGAATGTTGAACCTTCGCAGCTCGGTGGCGTTGCCGATACCGCTCAGCATGAGCAGCTGCGGCGAGTTGAAAGCGCCTCCCGCCACGATGACTTCGCGGCGGGCGATGGCCGTGCGCTTGACCCCCACTGCGTTGGCCGTGCGCCGACTGTCGCCCTTGTACAGCGACTTGCCATAGAGGAACTCGACGCCCGTGGCGCGCGAGGTGCCGCGGTCCGAGGAGCACTTGGTGCCGCCCGTGTCAAAGAGGACTTTTGTGGCGAGCGAGGTGAGTGAGACGGTCAGGTTCGAACCCGCGCGGACAGCCTCCTGCACGTAGTCGCGCGAGCTGTAGCGGTTGCCGTTAGCGTACTGGTGGTTGACGAGCCCGTATATGCTCGACGTCTGGTCGCGCGTCGGGCTGATCTCATTGGGGTCGCGGATCAGCAGGTTGGACATGGACATGGACAGGTTCCAGTCCCGAGCGTAGGAGGCCATGACGTTGTTGCCCTGCAGCGGGCCGAGCTGCTTGGACTGCGTCATGGCGCCCATCTGTGTCTGGAACCAACCGTCGAACCCGTGATTGGCCGCACCCCTGGTCAGGTAGTTGTTCTTTTCGATCTTGGTGAAGATCTTGTGCATGTTTTCGGCTCTGCTGAGCATCAGTACCACGTCACCAAACTCTACCCGAGGAAGGAGGGCAAACATACCTCCAACTGTCGTCGCCCGTCACCTCGGCGTGGTAGTTCCAGTCGGAGTCGCTCGGCAGCCAGCAGACCATGGCGTTGATCATCGAGGACCCTCCAAGCGTCGCACCGCGCGGGTAGTAAACGCCCAGCAGCTTGGAGCCCGCCGGGGCGCCGCTCTGCCCAACCCAGTAGCGGCCCTCCGGAGTCATCCACGTCAGGTGGCTGTACTGGTTGTCTCGGGGGTCGCTTTCCGGGTAGTGCTTGACGTAAAAGTCCCAGGTGACCGTTGGCGTGTACCGACCGAAACCTTGGCCTGGGTTGTCGTCTCCAGCTTCGAGCAGGAGGACAGAGTGTCCTGCCTTGGCGAGGTTGACGGCCAGCACCGCGCCGCCGGGTCCGCTACCCACTACAATGTAGTCGTAGGCGGCACCATCCCTCGGGGCAGTCTGCGCTGCAGCCAGGGGACCATGGAGCAAGACGGCCAGCGAGAAGAGTGCGCCTAGGGCGCCACTCTCTCCAGGCTTTCCAAAGAGCTTCATCTTGAAGAGAGGACGGTAGACAATGTAGCCTAGGGTTGCCTTCAGGGGCATGCACACTCTCCAGGAGTGGACATGACGGAGACGGACCATTCTTTGTACTGACTCTTTCACGTCCCTCCCTGTCCCAATTTACTCGGCAGGCTGCGGGCGAACCATCCCCATGGAGATCCATAGAAGGCATGACCGCTTGCTGAGTTCCTCAACCACTGGCCGTCATGCACGGCGCCAAGCCCTGAGACAACCACCGGTCACTCCTGAAAAGAGGGCAGGTGATCTAGACGAGATCAATTTCGAAGGTGGAGTGCTCTCGGAGAAGTGCCGATTGGGCAGCGAAAACTGCCTTTGATGGCAGCGTCGGGATGTTCCCCTGGTTGAAACATTGTTTGAGGGCGGGGGAGTGTATCCTCCGGAGGCCCTGGACTTAACATCTGTCCTTGAGGGGAAATAGCCGGTACTCGAATGAACCTTCAACAGAGCTCCGAGGATGATATCCATGCAGTAGAACTCTTGGCGTTACATATGAGAGGTCTAGGGCCCATACTGTGTTCGTGAGTACCTGGTTGCCAAGGCGTCGGATGTTGGAGTCCATGGAAAAAGGTGTGGTCGTAATACAGGCCAAACACTAAGCGCGGGGTTCCCGATAGTGATATTTTGCGTAGAATCGGCAGTTGCGAGGGAAAAGCCAATGTTCTTCATCGTTCTCGTCTGATGCCTTTTAGTTAGCGATATTCAGTCAGCCGCAAAAAAGGGGAACCTCTCCGGAGACTCCGATGACCATAGGTACCTTGTTGACGAACTCCTGCTCATGTTCTGGCAGTGCAATTATGACAGTGCCAGTGTAGTTGACTGGGGCTAGATATCTAATGTTACTGCTAGTAGTAGCCATCCCCTAAGACTAACGCGAGCAGACATCTTGAGATTTCCATGCCCTGATAATTGTAACTTACCAGCAAAAGCAGACTTGAAAGCAACGTCATCAGTATCCGTCCCCGAGCGTGTTCGGTCAGAGCTCTTCCGGCAAAAGAAGATCGCGAGGGGTATCTTGCAGCGACAATCAAAGCAACTCAGTAGGCAATGAAGTAAAACAAGCAATGCAGGGGAATTGAAAAACCTCCAAAGTATTACCAAAAAGCCCGGTTAAGCCATGGCTCAAAAAGTCTTCAAAATAGAGCCTGAGTCGCGATAGAAAAGGAGATTGTGGCCCCAGAGCTTCCATATGAACATGAGGTAGGGTATCCTTGCCCGAATATGACCGGGTTGAAAGCAACGACGACGACGCAATGCTGTCAATCAATGTCATCTCCCCTCTCCGCCCCACCGTCCCCGTCCTCCAAGCCATCAAGGTCAGGGTACTCAGACCCATCCCCTTCGAGTCTGGCAACGAACTGCTTCACGAACCGCCCATCGGGTCCCAGGCCCGCATACATGAGCGGCACCAGGAGCAGCGGCATCCCTCCCACCCCCGAGGTCACCTGCGCCTTGATGAACGCAAGCTGGTAGCCAGCCATCTGCCAGACAAATTTGGGGCTCGAATGGTGATACAGCTTGAACGCGAGGCTGGCCTTGAGCAGCGAAAAGTAGGTCGTCGCGCCCGCCCCGCGCCCGGCAAGGGCCGGCGGCTCCAGCAGCACGAGCATCCTAGAATCGAGCGTGTTGGAGCCCGTGCGGCTGACAGACTGAGCGTCGATGGCGAGCCACTTCTCGTAGATCTGTTTCACCTTGTCCGGGTAGGCGCCGTCGCGGGCCTGCATGGCGCGCGTCCATTCCTGCTTGACGGCGCCGAGGGAGTTGCGGAGGGATTCCAGGAAGCGCTTGCTCGAGGCGGACTTTTCCGCGATGGAGTTGAAGTCCTCGTAGTAGACGACCAGGTCGCGGTCCCAGAACTGAGCCGCGTTCTCGGAGCTTTCGGCCGTGGACCCCTTCTCGGCTGCCATGACCTTGTGGAAGGAGGCCAGCTCGCGGTCGATGGCGGGCTTGGCAATGGAAAACTTGAGGTAGTCGATGACGTGGCGTGGCTCGCCGGTACCGACCCAGATGTCGCCTTTGTATGCCGGGTCATCGAAGGCCATTCTGCCGTTGAAATGGTCCCTGCGGAGCCGGCTCCAGCTGTCGTTGTCGAAGATGATGCCCTGCTTGCTCTGATCCACCAGTTTGCCTACGAGAGTGCTAAGAAGAACGGCGACCTTGTCGCTGACGCTTTTGCTGTGATAGCAGGCCTTTTCCTTGTAATTGGTGCAGATGCCCAGGTAGTTGGGCTGCATCGCGAAGAGGAAGCTCTTGTTGATCATGTCGTAGACGGCTTCGTAGCGAGCCGCAGGGCCCGACAAGCCGGTGTGGCAGACAAGCTCCCTGAAGGAGGTTTTGTCCTGGCCCAGGTACGCAGAGAGGTCCGGCTGCTCAGGCACGTCGGCATTGACAAAGTTCTCAACGATATCCGGATCCCAGCACACCCAGGCCATGTCTCCGTCGTAGTCACCCCCTGAAAGCTTGTCAGCGAGCGGGATGTTGCCTTTGCGGGGAAACACAATGACGTCTTTGAGGGCGTGCAGCTCGGGCTTGAACACGGCCCGGACCTTCTGTACGTCGCTCACAAAGTGGGCGGGCGACCGGGCGACAAGGACGTCGCAGTCCGCCAAGAGAGTGTACGAGATGTCGTCCACTTCGTCGCGGAATTTGGACGAAAACCCGACATGCACCTCGTTCTCCTTCAGGACGCCCCAGAAGTCGACAACCATGTAGATGTACGCAGACCGGCCGACGCGGATATTCAGCTTGGTTCTCAGGATGTCGCACTTTTGCTTCTGGAGGTCCCAGGCCAGGTCTTGCAAGTACTTCTGGGCCTTTGGGTCGAAGCCGCTATTCAAAAGGAAACTGAGGATTTCCGACTTGCTCTCCGGGAGGCCAGCCAGGAACAGCACTTGTCCGTGCCGGACTCGCTCGGAGCGATTATTGGAGTTCTCGCTGACCCATTGCCGAAACTGGAGCGGGCGCTGTAAGGCTGTCTTTTGATTCTGAAATTGCTTTTCCAAGTCGTTTGTGAGACGATTGCCTATGACGAGCCTCATTTGCCTTTTGTCTTTGGCTCGGTCCTCCAGTACAGGCAGAAACTGCAGATTGAGGCCTGCCGGCTTCAACTCAGAGGCCACGCTCCGAACCTCGAGCGTCCTGTGGTATCGGTCAGCATAATCGCAGTCCCATTTGCGCTGAGACGGGTATGTCTCGATCCAGTCGGCGTCGCCCGTGTCGGCCACATCCATCAACCACATCCCTTTTGCCGAACCCATGCGCCCCTGGACGGCAGAGGGTATGTCGCTCAGTCCGAGGGCATCCCGAATCTTCCTTGCCACGCTGCGGGACATGCGGCCGATGCCGTCGTTCATGACCTTTCCGATGGGCGACAGGACGTCCTCCGCATGGTGGCGGATCTGGTCAGGCTCAAACGTCAGCGCCGGAAAGGTCTTGCTCAAACCCAGCTGGATACGTGAGAACAGCTTCAGGTGCGGCTGAGCCTCGTTGCGCTCCAACTGGAGAAGCCAGTCCATCATCAGGCTGACTGGGATTCGTGTCCGTTGCTGCACTGTGTCATGCGGGATGTCGAGCCTTGAGCGGATCTCGGCCTGGCGGAAGTTCAGACCGTCCTCGGCAAAGAAATGCACTCTCTCTTTGAACGTGGCTTTCGCCTCTGGGCCAAGCCTAAGGTCCTTTGCTGGCTTTCTGTATCCTGCGTCTTTTGAGTAGAAGGCCTGCCACCGTCGCCCAGCCAGGCAATGCTGGTTCTTGGTCAGCCACTGAATGACTTGGTCTGCGCCCCCGTCCTTCAGGGCGGCCTGGAGGTGGCTAGGCGTGTTCATCGCAGCTGGAGATGGGATGAGGATCTCTAGGAACCGGTCTGGACCGAAGCGCCTTGTCAGTCTGCAGCTTTCGTCGAACCTCAGCGGCTTCATGTCCAGCAAGAACAGGGGACCAGTCTTGTCGGGATTGAATTCCAAAGCGGCCGACATTACCACAATATTCCCGCGGCCCTCCCAAGAGTTCAAGGCGACGGAGAACGCTTCGGCTGATGGGCGCTCAGGGAAAGACTTGCCCCGGAAGACGTCTAGCTGGCTGAGGTCCCTCCAGATCGCAAACATGTCCGAGGTTGCCCATGTTGGGTCGTATTTGAGCGCGTCGTTATTAAGGTCGACCTTGCAGTGCAAACAGATGCGGGTGATTTCCCAGGCGACAGCGAGGGGCGCACCATGCAGCCAGCGGGGGAATGTGGCTGCGCGATGTCAGAAAGGTCACGTCAGAATTTTACCAATCGGTTCACTTACGCCAGATGTTTTGCAGCCTCGACTCGAGGGGGCTAAGCCTGCCGTTGCTCAGAACGCTGTCAAATCCTGTCCTGCGGGCCAGAATTGTGGTGTCATCTAGCACGAGCGGGTTAGAGTCAGGAAAGTCAATGTCCGAGAAGACACCGGAAGACTGAGGTGGCGGTTGGTGAGAAGTTCCGGTTACGGGCGCTTCAATAGGCGGCCTATTCACGGCCGCAGACGTCCGATCGGGAATTTTAAACTGCTGGGATGCAGGGCGTGCTGGAATTGCAAAGTCGAGAGAGGCGTTCTCTTCCCGCAGGTCACCGTCCAGCGTTGTCTGGGTCGACTGCTGAGTCGACTGCTGTTCACCATTGCTGAAGAGGCTCGAGACCCTGCTGCTGGTGGGAGTGCTGTCACTGGAGTTCCTCCGTTGGGGAGCCGGCCGGCATCGCTCTGGTGACCAATTCTCGGGCGGATGGCCCAGCCGTCGCCGTGCTGGCACCTTGTCGAGGGCATCGGTGAAGGCGGATGATGTCGGCGAAGGACAGGGCGAGAGTCCCCTCGAACGCTTGCCAACGTGATCGTCGTCTCTATCGAACGATCGCTTCGATCCAAGCGATGCCGGTGATTCTGGGAGCGACCTGGACGAACCGGTGTCGCTCTCATCGCTCAAAGTGGGAAATGGTGCAGGGCCATCATTGTTGGTTCGGCCACCGGGCTTCGGAAGCAACAAGGGCGGCTTCTTCTGAGCCGTGACATTCTCGATAACCTTGATCAAGACGGACTGCAAGTTCAACCGCTGGGCCGGGGTTTGCGCCTTCGGAGGGGCCGATACCGACGGAAGAGTGGTGGGGTCGGCGCGAGATTTGGGCACCCAGCGCAGGCTTGCGGCTTTGGCCGCCTGGTCGAATGACTCGAGGGCCTGCTCTAGGGTTTCGCCGCGCTGGTAAAAGAGAAACTGGATGCCGCGGCAGATCTTGTCACACCTCGCAAACTGCTCGTCTTTGGCGCTGAGCTGCTTTCGCTTGGATGGGCTGAGAGTTGGGTTGGGAATCGTGACGCCCAGGCCATAGACGTTGTTCAGTCTGAGGATAACTTTCTCCACGGCATTGTGGGCGAGGCTGCGCTTGTTGCTGGGCGTCACGGGCAGCACACCTGGAATCGCTCCCGGTCTTGTTCCAGGAATTGGGTTCATGGCTTGGGCCCTCCCGCCGGCAATCGGCCAAGCTCGATGGAAAGCGAAGCCAACCTTAGTATGCACATGCAATTGCCTGCTCAACGACCGGCCATTGAAGTCATTGAAGTGTGCGTGATGTTGTACTGCTGCAACGGGAAACTTTGCCGGGCGGCAAGCGCGGTTGCTATATTGCGACGTCGGAAACTAAATTGTGCCGCATGCAAGCCAGCCCTCTTCGAGATGTGGTGAGCCTCATCTGCAGAAAGCAGAGGCCAACCATGTCTCGTGAAGCGGTGCCTTGTGGAATTGATCAAGAGAACAGGATTCTGGCTCGGAGATGGAAGCTTTGGTGTTTTGGAAAGCTCTCTTCAACAGGGTCCAGGTCCCTGATGCTGTGCGCAGGTTCCATGTGCTGAAGGACCCTTTCTCCACAAGACTCTTGGGGATCTCGAGGGGATACATCCGAATTGTCAATTGCTGACTGTGGTGCTTTTGATGACATCATGGTGGAATCCATACACGCACGACAGGATAAGAAATGTCATTGTCCACCGAGCGTGATGCTGAGCCGGCGGTGTTTTGTTTCAGTTCATCAGGTGTCCATGAAGGCACCATTGGATGAAGCAGAAAACGTGCGGCTTGCAGGTGCTCAGTCAGCGCACCATTTGGTTATTTTAGACCCGTTGTGCGCCCCACTCTGCCGTCAATCCCGAGCTTCCCCACATTCACTTTGGTCCGATCTCGATCTGTCGGCTTCGACTTTGCATCCAAGGACACCACCTCGGATTTGCATCGGTATTCAACAACCGTACCTCTCTCTTCCAAGCAACGCTTGCCCATCAATCTCGCGACGAGTCAACCACCAAGTGATACCCCCTTATCGCAGTTTTACGGCCCCACTCTCCAACCTTCCTATCCAGGTTTCCCAGCAGTGACAGGCCCTCGACTGCTGTGCGACTCCTCCCGAATCTCTCGGCCATCACTCGGGTTACCTTCCCGGCACCCACACCCATCCAACGGCCCGTCCCCGTCCCCCTCCCCCTCCGGATTCCGTTTCCAATGTCGGAGACTCAAGAGAGCCCCAACCTCGAGGACCTGACGCCAGAGGAGGCAAACCGCATCATCCACTCCCACCGCAAGGTGCGCTACGGTAAGTGGCATCCTTCCGTCCCCGAACTCACCGTTGCCCTGTCCAATCCGTCGCCCCGGGTCAAGTGGACTGTATGACATACCCGAGAAAGCATTGGCGGTGCATCAATTCTCGATCACAGTTCGGTCCGCCCAATTAGGAGTGAGGATGGGTTGCTCAGATGTCTTTGTGGCAGGCACCGCTTGCTGGCCTTGTCGGCAGAGGAAAGTCAAGTGTGACAACAAAAGCCCCTGTGAAAACTGCGTCAAGAGGGAACACCCTCAGCTGTGTTCCTACAAGCCCAACAGGTCGGCCACCGGCAAGAGCATCTCGTCCGGTTCGGAATTCCCCACACCATCGAAGAAGAGAGGGCGCTCGCCGGACGAGCGAGCCGCCCGGAGGAGCCTGAGCGACGAGGCGCGCGAGGCCATCAGGGCATACGGTGCGTCGTTCTGTTGGCCGTGCTGGCGTCCACTCGCCCGGTGTTGACCTTTGCCAGAACCCGATAACACCGAGACTACGCGATATGTGGGCCAGAACAGCATACCAGCCCTGCTCCGAGAGACAGCCTCGGGCACCGAGCCGCAGGAGGTCGTCGGGATCCGCCAAGACATGCAATCCTTACTCGGCCTGGACAACTCGGCGCCCTTCCCGCTGATGTCTTCGCGCCATCTGGATAGGCTTACTTCGGATATCGCGTCCGAGCTGCCGTCCGATCGGGAAGTAATGAAGTAGGTCCTTCTCGAACTGTGCATGAATGTCCTGTTCACGCTCCCTAGACTCTTCCGGACGTACAAGGAGATACCACAGCCGTTCTGGGGCTTTGTCATCGACATTGACGACCTGGAATCACGCCTCATGGTCTACCTGGAGGACCGAGCAAAGAACGCAAGAGCCTCGACCAAATCGACAAGGCCTGTCTCAGCATCCTGGTTGGCCATCCTCTTTGCCGTTCTCGCCGTCGGCTCCCAGTACCACGACTCGCCGTACCATGTTCGAACAAGGGACGCGCAGAAGTACATTCAGATATCGTTCCACTTCCTTCGGCTCGGCAACTTTCTGCTGAGGTGTGTCTCTCGCCCCCAGGGTCCGAGGTCCTCGCTGACTTCTTCAGGCCCAACCTCGACTCCATCCAAGCATTGCTCATGACCAGCTTTGTGCTGCTCAATGACATGAAAGCGGAAGCCTCGTGGGCGCTGCTTGGCCTCACCTGCCGGCTGGCGCAGTCACTTGGTTTGCACCGTGCGCAGCCACTTGATGGGCGGCAAACTCCAAACGCCTCTAGGAAAGAGATGGCGAGGAGAAAGCTATGGTACACGGCCCCTGGCACACTCTTTTGGCATAAGGCTGACCTCCCAGGTGGACATGTTTGTGGCATGACACGCTAACCTCTCTGTCTTTCGATCGGTGAGTCCAACCCATCTAATGTAACGCTGTGCCCTGGCTTACCCATTAGCTCCCCCATGACCAACATCCCTTGCTGCCCAATACCCCTGTCTCCAACAGCCAACACCGAGGGGTGGGCATACCTCGAAGCAATGTACCACCTGTGCCAGATCATCTCACAGAGGCTGAACCCTGATGCTATCGCGACCGCCACCTACGCGCGGATCTTGGACAACTGCGATGCGGTCACGAATATTCGAAACAAATTGTTGCTTCAGCTCCGCAACAAGGACACGTGCAAGTCGGCCTTGGACCGGCTGCAACATTTCGCGATACGATTGCATACGTCCTTTATCATCTCGGTTTGCTGCCGGCCTGCTCTGATGCGGCGAGACAGCAACCACCTTGACGCAACGCAAAAGAAGTTCCTCGCCGACAGGTGCAAACAGAACCTGACCGAGACGGTTCGGATGTTCCTCGCCATGCACCAGCTCTCCGTTATCCCGACGCGGTCTTGGGCCTTCACCTACCACGGCCTCTCGTCGGCCGTCCTCTTGGGGCTGCTGGGCGAAACAAAGGCCGACCCGGAGGTTCGCCAGCTGCAAGGAGACCTCATTTCAGCTTTGTCGGCGACGGCAGCGAAAGAACAGACGTCTCCTCAGCCACATATTCGCAAGTCGGACCTCGACATCGAGCTCTCGGGTCCACTTTCGCGAGCTTTGGAGGCCCTCAAGAACATCTATGACCACGGATCCGTAATTGGGCCACAGATCAAGAGGGAAGGCAGCATCTCGGGGCCGGCCTCGGGCCGGCGCACACCGCTGCCTCACATGCCGCCGTCCGGGAGCCTCACCAATGGCGCCATGGCCAGTCAGGATTCTCGCTCTCTGTCGGCGACTCTGGATCCGCATCAGAATGCGGCCCTGGCCATGACGGAGCTGCAGCAGCAGGGCGGCGGGCCGGCTGCTGATTTCTCCGCCGGGTATGTTTGTGACTTCGAAATCAGCCAAAGGCTGCTGCTAATGTTATTCGTAGTATTCCCTTCTCGAATGGTTCTTTCGAAACCGGGGCTCAGCCGCTCTCCGAGATGCCTGGTTTCGATCCGACCAGCTACATGTCGCCCATGGATCTGTACGATTCCATCTTCTGGGGTAAGCAGCTTCTCGGGTGCCCTCCCAACTCCCATGACTGACCTGGCCAGAATCCCCCGATCCCTTCAACACTGGGTTGGATTCGATGAACTTTGATTTTCTTGCCCAACCCCCGCCAGGGCAGCCGCCACAGCAGCAGTTCTACTTTTGATACGCATCTATCTGCCGGAGTCGTCTCTTGTATGTACATTCGGCGTGATAATGATTGGCCAAGTTACATCAAAGAACATCATGGCAGAGAACTGTTACCTCACTGAGCTTTGGTGGCCGACCGTCATCGTGAACCGTTCAGCCCATATTCGGCGCTGCAACAAGGCAATCCAGTGCACGGACTGTTCTCAGACTGGAGAAAGTCCTGCCCAGCAAACGTCCTTGCTGATAGCAGCCCAGTTTCAAGGGAAGGGGCATTCTCCACCATGTCAGCCTTGATGCGAAGGCACTACTCGGGTACCGGCCCCCCATCCTCGAGCATCGTTAGATCCGTCTCCAACTGAAGTTTGTAATCAGAGCGGCAGTATATCATGAAGCTCTTTTTTGTATTCCACCTCCTCTGCCAGACATCCCTGTCTTCACTCAGCCCTCCCGCAGCCCCAGTACCCCTTGACTTGCCCCTGAATAAGTGTAAGATGACCTGACGCTTCAGGGTCTCTGCAATCTTTTTCTTTCATGCATCTCGCGTAGGAAGCTGACGTGTCACAGCCTTCATTTCATTGACTTGGTTCGACAAATACCATGACTATCAAGCCCACGTTGATTTCCTCCACAGCCTCGCAAAAAAGCACGCTCACTTGGCAAGAGTCTTTACTGCGGGGAAGTCGTTTGAAAAGCGAGACATCTAGGGGATTCATCTCTTTGGGAAATCAGGGCCTGGTCAAAAGCCTGCCATCGTCTTCTTTGGCACCATTCATGCCCGGGAGTGGATCACCACCATGGTCACTGAGTACACCGCGTACAATCTGCTGAAAGGGTACCGCATCAACAGGGACATCAAGCAGGCACTCAACAGCTTCGACTTTTACATATTTCCAGTAGTAAACCCTGATGGTATGCGAGCATCTATCTGCCATTTCCCCGTTATTTGTTCACGCATCAGCACTGACATACACTCAGGCTTTGTCTACACCCAAACCACGAACCGCATGTGGCGCAAAAACAGGCAGACGCAAAAGGGCACCGCGTGCGTCGGCCGCGATCTCAATCGCAACTGGGACGTCCAATGGAACCAGACAGGCGCCGCGTCATCCAGGCCCTGCCGCCAGACCTACAAGGGGCTGACACCCCTCGACGCACCTGAGACGAGGGCTCTGGCCACAGAGCTGAAAGCCATCAAGAAGCGGCAGGGGCTGCGGCTCTTTATCGACTGGCATGCCTTTGGGCAGCTGGTCATGTACCGTAGGTTCTGCTGCTGCGGCTCCCTGGAAGCCACAAAACCCCATCACTAACCGGCATCATCGCGGGGCACAGCATACGGACACTCGTGCGACAAGAAACTGCCGCCTTTCTCAGCGACGAGTTGGCTGGCTGGTGAGCTCGCCGAGGCCATGACCAAGGTGCGCGGCACCCGGTACCGAGCGGGCACGGCGTGTGATTTGCTGTACCCGACCTCGGGGGACAGCGCCGACTATGCGTTTGAGGTGCTTGGTGCAGACTACGCCTACACAGTCGAGTTGCGGCCCGAGGTGGGAGGCCGAGGCGGGTTCAAGCTGCCGGAGGACAAGATCTTGGCGACTGCGGAGGAGGCGTGGGGAGGGATCAGGCATGTTTTGAAGTTGATTCATCTTTGAGGGGCATGAGGTACGGATACATGGCGTGTGTGGCAGGCATTAGGGTCAGCTAGGCTTACGAGAGGTTTCCGCGGTGGAAGAGTACATGTAAGCAGAGTTAGGGGTGAGACCGTGAGCTTCCCAACATCGAACTCTCCTTGCCAGAAAATCTCCCATTTTCACCGCCCTCTTTCGAAGGCACTTCAAAGTGACAAGCTGACCTGTGACCCGCGGAGTAGCGCACTCCCGAACTCTGGACCCTGGTGTCCTATTCAGGACCACCGTGACCATCTCCCAACAGGGAGATCTGTGCCTATCCAGTGCGCAGTGGGTCGCGAGGCCCAGTGGATCTTTTTGAACCATACACGCCTTAGGAACCTCTTTTGCCCGTTTTGGTCTGTCTTGCATGCTGCCTGGTGTTGGTGCCGGTCTAACAGCAGCTTTCACAGGCAACCTGAAATACCGACCCCCAATAATCAATCCGTACACAAAATCTCTTGACCCGCGGCTGCCTCGGGCTTCGCCACTTGTGGCTGCCACAAAGGCGGGGTCCGCTCATGTTCCGCATGCTCCTCCAAGCGGCGCCAATCGGGCATCGGCGACAAGCGACTCCTAATAGCGGGGTTTAGAGGCACGCTCATTAGGGAGGTTTCTGCAACGATCTGGGCCTGCTCCTTGGGGCGCATTCGACCGTTTGATATGGACTCTGGGCTGTTGAGAGACCTTCCTCTTTGGGGTTCCAGTTTCCACGACTCCATCGCCAAGGAAAATTTATAGCCGCTCTCACAAGTGCCGGTATCTGAAGGCCGTTTTCGTCTTCAACCCTACAGGACCTGCTTCTCTTCCATCAGACTCTCAGAGACCTCGCAAGGCGCTTCTCCTACGGCCCATCATGTCGCTCTCGCACGAAGTCTCGATGGACCTCCCGGTCATCGACCTGGACGTGTTCCTCCAGCAGCCGCGCGACTCGCCGGCGGTGCAGGCCGAGTGCGCCAAGGCGGCCAGCGCCCTCATCACGTACGGCGCGCTGGTGCTGCACGACTCGCGCGTGTCGGAGCATGACAATGACACCTTCCTGGACCTGCTCGAGGACTACTTTGCGCAACCCGAGGAGGAGCTCAAGAAGGACGAGCGGCCCGAGCTGGCATACCAGATCGGCGTCACGCTCGAGAACACCGAGAAACCAAAGTGCGCCGTCGACGAGCCGTGCCTGCGCGTCATCGAGCGCCTGGCCCCCTCGGAGCGTCCCCTCGATATCTCGGCGCACTCGCCCGACCCCAAGTGCCGCTTCTTCTGGCGCATGGTCGAGCAGCCGCCGTACGAGACGCAGTTCCCGGGCTTGAATGCGGCAAACATCACGCCCGAGGCACCTCATATCAAGGAGCGCTGGGGACCGGTGATGAACCAGTGGGGGACGTCAATGAAGAATGCGTCAGTGGTCTTGCAACCGGGAGCGCAGCGATGAGATGCTGACTGCGACGCAGTGTTGAAGGACTCACACAAATGACGGCCGTTGGCCTTGGCCTCCCGGCAGACACATTCAAAGATGCAGGCCGATATGGGTATAGTTTTGTTTCTCTGTCATCTCATGGAGAACCGGCGCTGACATTCACAGGCCCCACCTGCTGGCCCCGACCGCCTCTGACCTCCAAAAGTACGGCCAGAAGGACACCATCCTGGCGGGCTTCCACACGGACCTCAACTTCCTCACCATCCACGGCCGGTCGCGGTACCCGGGCCTGCACATCTGGGCGCGCAACACGGGCAAGCGCATCCCCGTCAAGATCCCGCAGGGCAACTACCTGCTCGTGCAGGCCGGCAAGCAGCTCGAGCACCTGACGGGCGGGCTCGTCAAGGCTGGGTACCACGAGGTCGTCGTCAACGAGCGGACGGTGCAGGTGATTAAGGAGCGCAAAACCCGCCTGCCGGACCGCCCGCTGATCCGCATCTCGTCGACCTTCTTCTGGCATCTCTCGTCGGATTATGACCTCGCGCCGATCCCCGAGCTGGCTGAGAAGGCGAGGAGTGTTCGGGCGCAGCAGTTCAACCTGGGCCGCGATGAGGGCGATGAGGCTCAGTACCCGCCGATGAAGGTCGGCGAGCAGGTGTCAAAGTGAGTTCTCCCCAGCTCTCTTGGGGATGAGAAACAGGATTGACTTTGGAACTAGTGAGCTCAAGCACATTGCGCTGATGGCGACAAGCTGATAAATCACACTGCATCAATGACGAAACTTGGTTGGCGTCGTTTAGTTGTTTGATTATGGACCGGCTCGGAAAATGTGGGATTGAGACATGAGCAGAAGCTGGAAGACGATCGAAATGGTCCCGGCAGGCCCGGATAGTAGTGCACCTGGCCCCTGAGTCTATTGTCATTAATGCAATCAGAACCGCTGTTATGCGCCCAGAGTCCTTTTGTGCAGTGACGAATCTTGACCTCTCAGCTTTCTATGAGATTGGTTGCAAAAGACTGGGTGAAGGATGAAGGAGAGTCACAGGTGCCGGCTCAGCGCGGAAACAAACCTTGTTTGACTAGATAGAGTTCAATTATTTTCCTAAGCAGTACCAGCTACGACAGGTGCCCACACCTGTACATCTTCCGTAGTATAGTGGTCAGTATGTGAGCTTGTCAAATTCCCAGCACTGGGTTTTAGCATCGCTCGAGACCCGGGTTCAATTCCCGGCGGGAGAGTTTTGCAACCTTAGATAGGCGAGCAGGAATGGCTTGGCACCTGGTATATCCACTTGATATCTCAGGTCTGTCGACCACCTGCGACGGTAGGAGAAGCCAATCGCGCTGATGTTTGTTAGTATTTTTTTTCAGCGATGTTTCCAATAACTCTTTTTGTGTTCTGGGATATTTCAGGGTTTTTCTCAATTGGGAAGGCGCAATCACCATGAGCAGTCGACCCCAACCCAACCCTGCTCTCCTGCTGGACGACGGAATCAAGTCCAGTTCCTTTCACCTTTGTTACCGACCCTCTAGGAAGGCTTTATGCTCCACTCCTGTTTTGCTTTTTACTCCTTGACTAGATTTTACCGTGAACAACTATCACACTCAGACAAGGTGCTTGCAAAAGGGGCTGTTTCTGCCTGTCATCAAGGTTAGGAGAGGTGGATCCATGAGTGTGTTGCCTGGCAACTACTGCAAGAGGCCGCCTAGCTGACAGGTCAGAACCATTCTTTGATTTCTATTGGCATTCTACAAATTCCCAATTCGGATAACCTGCGGCAGTTCAAGAAGGCTGTAAATGCAGGATTTACGCTCAGGGTCCATGCAAGGCAGGATAGGACTTCAGACTTCTAGGTTCATGGTATGTACTCGCCTGGCTGTTACCGTTCTTGTTCAGGGGCTCTAGGCAGGCTCAGGCAGCAGCAGCACTTCACTCGCCATGATTTGCCAGGTTCAAGAGCCATGCATATCTGACGTCTTACTGCGGCCGCTGAATTCTGGGCCCAACAGTTCCTCGCGGAGGCTGAGGACCCCCACAACTGAAGGAGGAGGATGGATTATATTTGAGCATGAGTTGACTATAAGAGGAGCGTAAGACGCATCGCTGGTCATGCAGCACAATTCCACAGCATTTCTCAACATCTCAACTTGATCTCCTCTCAAACCCTTCTTGACGTTGGCACCATGTCGATCGTGACAGCGACCCCGCCGGACTCGGACATCGAGGTGATTTTGTCGGTTAAAGATGTTGAGCCTGCAGTCGCCGATGTGGTTGTCGAGAACAAGGAACTCGAATCCAACAAGGAGACACCATCGCCGGCACTCGCTGAAAACGCAAGCAACGAGCCAGCCGCAAATGAACCGCCCCTCCAAAAGCTGTACCGACATGACTGCGACTACGGCTCCTGTCCGACTCGCTGGTCCAAGTATGCCGCCAACCAGGAGGAGCAGGATGCCCTTGAAACCGAGGTCAGCAGCATGCCCATCGTCCAGCGCCACGTTCACAGCCAGGAGAAGGGCTGGGAAACCGTCTCATTTGCCATCAACTGCCCGCACATGAGAGCCTTTCTGTCCGACGCCCTGTCCGATTACCAGGACTTGGACCCCGACCTGGAGGGCTGGGCCTTTGAGCCTCCCTACAAGGCCCTTGTCCACCGCTGGGAGCGCCTTCAGACTCTGCACCAGGAGCTTCATCACTCGGAAGGCGAGCCTGAAAAGAAGAAGGCCGTCGACCAGCTCGTCCAGTTCCTGCAGCCTATTCTCGCTCCGTCGGTCGAGGACCTGGCCGCGACGCGGGAGACGGGCAAGGTCCGATACAGCATGCTCTGGCAGATCTTCCCGCCCGGAGAGACGGTCCTGACCAAGTTCTGGGGCGTCGAGACCGTTTGCCGCGTGGTCAAGTACCGCAAGGCCGACCCCGGCGACCGCCCGCAGTGCTGGTACATCACGGTTGAGTACGTGGACTGGAACGGCAAGAAGTGCGGCTTGGAGCGGAAGGAGGTCATGATTCACCGGTACTCCGGCTTCACGCGCGTCGCGTCGCTGCCCGTCTACCCACTGTCGTTCACGGACAGTCCCGACGAGATCAGGAAGGCCATGATGGCGCGCGGCCGCCGGTTCCAGCAGCTCAGGGGGTACCACTTTCTCAACTACAACGGCGTCATGGTTAAGATGGGCGACAAGTGGGGGGAGCAGCCTGTAAGTCGTGTTTCTGATTAGGAGGTAGGCACATGCAGGGTCACTGACTGGTCATAGGTGACGGGCCGGGTCATCATTGACACTTACGCATACTACCGAAGCAACAACATTGTCAAGCCAGACCTGCGGGCTCTGACGAGCAGTGAAAGGGGATCTTCTACCGAGACTGAAGAGACTAAGGATGACGATGAAGAGGAGGAGGAGCATGAAGAGGAGCAAGAAGAGGAGCAAGAAGAGGAGCAAGAAGAGGAGCAAGAAGAGGAGGAACAGTTGGAGATTGGTGGCCACGCCAAGCCCAGCGGACGGGACGAAGACCTGACAGAACTGTCTGATGAGCACTGCCTTCTCACCACTCCGTGGATTATTGGCTTCGAACTCAAGCGGAAGCAGTGGGGTGAGTATTTCCCGGGCTAATACGGGCGCGTATCTCGCTAACACGCAACAGGCCGCTTCCTCATCGACAAGCTGGACGACATTGTGTGGAACGACAAGGCCTTTGACAACCTGGTGCTCCCCGGCGGCGAGAAGGAGCTGGCCTGGGAGTTTGTCGAGAGCAAGGCCAGGGCTGAGAATGCCATTGATGACTTTGTCCCTGAGAAGGGTGAGCAGCTACGCTGAACGGGGGAAGCAGCACATACTTACAGGCCATAGGACGGGGCATCATCATCCTCATGTTTGGACCGCCAGGCGTCGGCAAGACGTACACGGCCGAAGCAGGTAAGACACCCCTGAGTTCTGTCCGAGTCATTGACGCTGACAAGCACAGTGGCCGAGAAAGCACGCGTTCCTTTGTATTTGATGAGCGCCGGAATGCTCGGAACCAGCCCTCAAGTGGTCGAGCCCGCCCTCACGCACGCCCTGGAGCTCTGCCGGCTGTGGAATGCCATGCTGCTGCTCGACGAGGCAGACGTCTTCCTCGGCGAGAGGCTCGACGACAGTCTGAACAGGAATGAGCTAGTTTCCAGTTGGTCTTTCGGCTGCATTTCAAAATGAGATTGTGCTGACGCATCCAGTCTTCCTCACCAAGCTCGAGTACTACCAGGGCATTCTCTTCCTGACAACCAATCGCTTCTCGCGCATCGACCACGCTTTCCAGTCGCGCGTCGACCTCTTCCTCCCGTATTACGATCTGGGCGCCCCCGCGCGCAAGCAGGTCTGGCACAACTTCTTCGAGCATTTCGGTCCGGACAAGTTTAACGTCTCGGCCGAGGAACTGGACCGGCTCGCGGAACTGCCCTTGAACGGCCGCGAGATTAAAAACCTGCTCAAGAGCGCGCAGCTACTCAACGCGCGCGCTGGAGGCAAGGTTACAGCCGAGAGGCTGTACATGCTGGCCGACAAGCGGGTGACGGCGCTGAAGATGCTGGAGGAGCACAATGCCAGCGTGGGCCGCTAATCGATTCGTGGGAGTTGGGTTTGAATTTGTCGCAACGAGGGGAGAAACAACGGCAGTTGAAGCCGTCTCTTTTGTTGAAACCATACCTTAGCCAGGCGCAAGCCCATCCAAATCGCTATCCCAGGGTATCATGCTGTTCAAACACCCCTAAACGCCAATTACATGCACAGTCTACCCCGTCTTCAGCCCTCCTGCATGAAAGCATTCATTTGTCAGATCCGAACCCCTCACTCATTACCATGTCCGAAGATTCAAACGCCATCCAATGCGAGACATGAATCCGGCCCGTTTCTCAACTCAAACCCCACTCGAAACCATTTATGCATGTTCCGAGCCCACGAAGGCCCAGCCGACAACCCGGTGTCTCCGAAACAATCCAAGGTACCCCTGAGCGTCATGCCTCCAGGGTCCAGAATGCTGCCAACACCACAACATCTCTTTGGACGGTTCATCCAACTCCCAGAAATCATCCGCTGACACATCCCGCTCACCAGATCTGATTCTCCTCCTCAGAATCCTCATCCGAATCTTCATCTTCAACATGGACATCCAGGGTACTCAACCTGCTGTACGCCCCAACCAGACCAGGCAGCACATTCACGATGGCAAACCCCGGATCCGACCCATCTATCTCAGCTACATCCCACGGCCCCTTGACCTCATCATTCTCCGGCGTCCGCAGCAGATTCCCCACACCGTGGCACAGCCGGGGCAGCATCCCATTCACGGCCTCGGCCCTCTCACGCGCGGGGATGAGCACCAACTCGCGAAACTCATCGTTGAATGCGGCGTCGGGCGCACCGGGGTGGCGCGGAAAGTGTTTCTTGACGGCGCGGCGGAGGAAGGACAGGACGGGCTTCAGCGAGGGCGGTGGCGGCATCGCGACCGGTTCCGGCGGGATCGGCAGGCGCGACTTTTTCGCTTCTCTGCGCCGGCGGCCCTGATCCTTGATGGCGGCTTCGATGTTGTTGGCGAAGGCGTGGTGCAGGTCGTCGAGCATGTGGTAGGCAGCGCGGAGCGGGTGTTTGTCGTGCTTGCTGTCGGATGGCCGCTTCTTGTTGAAGTGGCGGGCCATGTGCCCCGTGCTGCGGTGGGTTCGGGGGCGGGTCAGGGCGGCTAGGTCCTGGCGGATGATCCCCAGGACGCAGCCGATGTCCCACCAGGTGAAGGGATCGTCCTCCGGGCCGGTGCCTGACCTGACCTGGACTGCGCGGCCGAAGTCAATGAGGTACACGTCCGGGATGGGGCTCCCGGACGGAAAGTGCAACATGATGTTGCGCGAGTGCAGGTCCCGGTGGTAGACCAGGCCGGACGACTTCATGCCCGTGTACATGAAGTCGAGCGTCTCGAGGATCTGCAGCACCAGGTGCAGCGCGAGACCCGGGGGGAGCACGGCGGGGCCCTGGGCGCAGCGGTCAAGGAATGCCCGGAGCGTGCCGCCGTTGCAGAAGTCCCAGTGCGAGACAATGCCACCGCCAGGGGTGGAGGACGCCGAGAGGAGCCGGGGGACGCGGAGAGGGTGGCCGACGGCGGCCGCGCAGTCGAGAACGAGCCGGGCCATGCGAATGTCGCGGTCGAACTCTTGGACAGCGCGGTCGGTACCCCCGACAGCGCGGTCCGAGTGGCGGAGGGTCTTGCGCACGAGGAGGCCGTCGGTGGTGTAGCTGTGCACCAGCTGGGTGGCGCACGATTGGCCGGAGCTGAGACGGCGGACGAATAGGGAGTCATGGCCCGGGTCTTGGAAAAGGAGGCCGTACGCAACCCCGTCTATGGGAGCCATGGGGGACGGCGACGATGCCCGGGCAAAGGAAGACCAGTCATCGGCGTGTTAGATAATTAAATTGCTCTGTCTATGTCGGGTCCAGAGACAGAAGCAGCAAAGGGAAAGCGAGCGAGGGACACCATCTGGAGCAGCAGTGTGCAGCGCACGATCGTGAGACCACAGACAAGATGGAGGACAGGAGAACATAGGGCGCTGGACGACCCTTAAATAGGGCACCATGCCGCATCATCGCGTCCCAGTAAACAGGAACCTCGCACTTCAAAAGTCATTGTTGATATCTCAAGACGTATGTATGCTGTACTTGCCGCTGCAGCTGCAACACGCGTAACCGACGTCAGATGCATCCCTGCATTTGGTCATCGGCCCGGTCGCTTTGGGCGGCTGAAGCCCGTCTTCACCTCGACTCTGGGATGCAACTCATCAATGACGCCCTGCTCGGTGATCTCGCTGGCATCCTCAACCTCGAACTTCTTCTCAGGTTGCAAGCCCGCCTCCTTTTCGGCGACAGCCAGGACCGAGCGCTTCATCAGGGGGTACATCATGCGGAACTTAATGGCCTTGGTGCTGAAGCTGGTGGGGCACGTGTAAAAGAACAGAAGAGGGCTGGTCTCGATGCCGTTGTGCGTGTGGGTGAACCTGTAAAAGGTGAAGCGGGGCTCGGTGGGGGAGATGGCCCGCACCAGATCAGGGATCGAGCCGGGGGCCGACGCGTCAGGAACCAGCTCGACGGACTCGGATTGTGGGTTGATTTTCTGGCAAACAATCGTCAGCTGCAAGGTACGAAACGCGAAGCAGAGCCAACCACGCACCAGCATGACTAGCGACCTCTCTCCTGCACCCAGTGCCTTTAGCGCGTCGAGCGCTTCATCAGCAATGGCCGTGGCCATGTTTTTGCTCAAGTGGATCTCGCGCGTGGCCGTGCCTATGCCGGCCTCCTGCTCGGCGCGCCGCACATCACCCAAGCTCCTCTCCTCCTCGGTGAGCGGGGCCTCTAGTGCACTGTGCGCATCGTGCTTCTCGAAGCCGGCCGGGGTGAGCTCGTCGGGAGTGGTCGCGAACCAGGTATCGCGGAAGTGCTCGCTCCCCAGCTCGCGTACAAGCGTCAGGCGTGTTGAGGCAAACAGCATCTTCTGGCGCACTGGCGCAGTATCGGGTACGTACGTCACGGCCACCAGGGCCGGGCCGGACGAGTAGCGGCGGAGGATGATGTAGAGCGCCTCATTGGGCTTGATGTGCGGCTGCAGCAGGGACTCGACATTCGATGCGAACGAGCTCCGTGACGATGGTGTCAGCAGCTGCAGCGGGCGCAGCTGTTCGGACGAGATGGTCGCGAGCAGTGCAAAGTGCGTGTCCGACGCGAGGAGGTCGTTGAACTGCGAGACGAGCTCCTGCGAAACTGCAGCGAACAAAGAACCATCGAGTCAGTAAATCTTCCATCCGAAGTTACTGAATGAGATACAAACCTGAGATGCCGGACTGCATCGTGAATTGCTCGAGACTCCGAGTTGTGAAATCGGTTGCTGCCGGCGGGAGCAAGGCACGACGTCAGGTACGATCCCGGGTATCTACAGGAGGGGTTCAGTCCGACTAGACCGGTGTTCAGTGGGGCCCACCTCCTGTAATGGCCAGGCGGGGTTTGACAACACCGAAACCATATTCATCTGAGTTCCGCCTCTCAATGCGTTCTTACTTGTCCAAACCTGGAAACCATGAGTGCTTATGACGCTGGACCTCGAAACCGCCGATAAGCTTCTAAGGTTAGCTGCAGGCTGCAATCCACGCTCAGGCTGGCACACTGACGCTTTTGCTGAAGCCCAGACGGCGACTCGACTGTGGGCGGAGTTCTGGACGGGCGCGGTTAGCATGTCGAGCACAAGTTCCCGGCATTGATTACGTTCCAGGTCCAGAAGTGCTGAGCAGGCACCACACCGGTTTCGAAACCACTGCGGCAACAAACTCATGACTGACGGCTTTTCTGGCCTCGAGTTGGCAAATCGCTGTTAACTGGTTTCTCCGTCGCCGAAGCCGTCTGATTCGTTCTTCTTTTGCCATTTCTTCGTTGCCGTTGTCTGTGGTCCGTTCATCTTAGACCCTGCGCCAAGCCCTGTTGGATCTTATGCCTGGGTCCCCAATTTCCCTCGCCAGGCTAGCCCGCATCTACGCCAATCATCAGCGCTGCCTCGCCGGGGATGCACGGAATTCGACCCAACGACCAGGCAGCAGGGGGAAACTATCCGTAACGTTAAAAAATGACAGTGACTCTTAGCTTGTATCCTTCCCGTCCTCTTTGTCATTCGGTTTCCTTCGCTCACTCTGTAAATTCCAGGCCACCGCCATGTCGAGGTAGAATCGACGTCCATTCTTTCTTCCTACCCTCTCCGACACTCGCTTTCTTCCAGCGCTCGCTTACCGGCAATAATGGCGCGCCACACGCGCTTGTCCACGCTCGCCGTCTGCCTTCTCGGCGCCACAACCGCAGCCGCCCAGCACGTGCTGCTCCCCTTTTCCAAGCAGCACGACAGTTCCCAGCTCTCAGCGCGCGCCTCGGAACAGACAGGCCTCAAATCGGCCGAATATGCCTACGTCGTCGACGTCTCGGTCGGCACGCCGGCGCAAAAGCTGTCGCTCCTGATTTCGCCCTCAACCGGTGCCACATGGGTGCCCGACGCCAACACGCCGTACTGCTCGCCCCAGTGGTATCAACGAACATACTACTCAGATGACGAATTCGAGGTGTACTCAGATGTCTCTGTCCCCGCGGAGTGCCATTGGGGCAGCTTCAACAAGTCGCTCTCTTCCACCTACCTGCCCGCGAACAGCAGGTACCGCGACTTCAGGTACGCCTATGTGGACGGCACCTATGTGTCGGGTCTGAACATGACCGACAAGCTCGTCGTTGGCAATATCGAGCTCGACGACTACCCCATGGGTCTCGTCAGCTCGGCCAACCGCTGGATCGGCGTTCTCGGGCTCGGCAACAACAGGAGCTCGAGTTACTACTCGAGCTACGAGGGCGAGTTCTCCAACGTCTTGGACCGCATGGTCTCGTCAGCAAAGATTGCGAGTCCGGCGTACAGCATCTGGCTCGACAACCCCGAGGGCTCGTCCGGCAATCTGTTGTTCGGCGCTGTCGACTCTTCTCGGTACACCGGCGATCTGGTACGCCTCGACACCTCCAACCGATACCAGTACATGTACACCTTTAGTGCCACAGTGTCGGGCATCAACGGCACCACCGACTCAGGCGATGCCATGCCGGCCATCCGCTCCAACGACTTCCCTTTCGACGTCACCTTTGGCCCGGCCGAGGTGTTCTCGTACCTGCCCGAGATCCTGGTTGATCAGCTCGCGGTCATGGTGGGCGCCACATACAACCGGACCATGGACATCTACACGTTGCCGTGCGACGCCGCCAAGACCAACAACACAAAGTTTGTCTTTGAGCTTGGCGGCAGTGGCGGGCCCAAGCTGGCCGTCGAGACCGCCGACCTCATCCTGCCGCCCACCATGCAATCCATCGGCGCCCAGGGGCGTTATTGGCTGTTGAACGCGACCAACGTCTGTCTCTTTGGCATCCAAAAGTACTACTCGTCCAGCTCGTCGAGCAGCTACTCATCCTCCTCCTCCTCCTACTACAACTTGGGCAGCTCGCTCCTGCGCCGCAGCTACCTCGTCTTCGACGTGGCCAACCAGGAGATCGCCGTGGCGCCCGTCAAGTTCCCGTCCGGCGCGGAAGCCCCGTCGCCGACCATCGTCGCCTTTAAGAGCTACGGCGCCGCTATCCCCTCTGCATCTTTGTTTTGCACCAGCTCGTATTGCGGCTCTTCGGACGGCGATGACGATTCTGGCTCCGGCTCGGGATCGGGATCGGGATCGGGGTCAGGCTCGGGCTCAGGCTCGGGACCTGGCTGGGGATACGGAAGGAATAGCACCACAGGACTCCAGCACTGGCAGCAGGTCGCAATTGGCGTCGGAGTTTCTTTCGGTGTTGTGATCCTGGTCGCCGCGGTTGCCGGCATCCTCGTATGCGTCCGCCTGCGGCGTGGCCAGGGTGTCGCCAAGGCGGACGAGGAGGGCCAGGACGCGGAAGGAGCGTCACAGCCAGCCGAGTCGGCGCAGGACTCGACAGTTACCCAGAATGGGGCGCGGTCGTCGGGTGTGCCGCCGGCTGCGCTGCCAGTCATCCAGGAGAAGCAAGAGGAGGCGCCAGCCCAGGCGCCGCAACTGCCGGCCTTGGGGACAGAGCTCGCCCGGGCAATCACGCCTCCCGAGCCGACGGAATCCCCCGACTTGAACCGTGCATCCGCAGCCGTGTCGGCGCTGTCTGATGATGCACAGGCCAGTGCGCAGCCCCAGGATCCAGCGCCAGCTCACGCATCTCCCAAGGGCAAGGGGAAGGAGGTGGACCGTTCAGGTGATGAGAGCTAAATTCCGCAGACTTGTCGCTATCTGCTAGTCGTAATTGTAATGGAGATACCCCTTTGCATATTTGATACCGATCTCAGTTCCATACAAGGGTGATCTGCTTACCACGTGTGTTGAGAGGTCGCTGTGGTCCCCAATCAAGCCTCGACGTCATCAAATCCCGCCAAGGGTTCGTGGTTGCACCAAAATCATGTTCGTCTCAAACCCAGCATCTCTTTGGGCCAAGTCGCGTGCGCTCGCAACAACCATTGTCGATCGGCACCCCCAATTCATTGTTGACGCGGGAGGGTTGACGTCATGCCACCACCCACATCAAGTTCGTCAACGGCGCCGACTTAGACCAACAAGCCCGCCTTATAAAGCCAACAAACACACGCCATCACCTCGGCCACACACAACCCATTAGCCCCATGGTCTCATACCATACATAACACCCAACAACTCCACAAACCGAACTTCAACCATTGAAAACAAGATCAAAGACAAAATGGCCGTCACCAACGCCGTCACCGACCTCGTCGCATCCATCGGCGAGCTGCTCTCGTCCATCTTCGGCGCCGCCTACAGCATCGTGCATTCCTTCATCACCGGCGTCCTCGGTTTGTTTGCCGGCTTCATTTCCATGATCGGCGACCTCGTCAAGGGCGTGTTTGACCTGGTTGGCGGGATGGGCAGGTTCGTTGCCGGTAAGTGGTTCCTTCTTTTCTTGACTTTGGGCGTTCATATCCCACCAGATAGAGGAATAAGAAACAAGGTAACTGATATGAAACTTTTACAGCCAACGCCGTCGTCATCGCCCTCGTCGCCGCCGCGGGGTACGCATACGTGCGCTTCGTCCAGCAGCCGCAGCAGCAAGGACGTAAGCCCATCGGCGTCAACGGCGCTGGGATTGGGAAGAAGACTAACTAAGGGGCGGGCATGGACGTGTATGAGTGTGGGGGTGGAATGGGTTTGGGGATATCAAGGGACTAAGTCGGCGTCTACACGGTGTTTTGCCAGGTTTTCCTTTCATAGAGTGTTTTCGATCTGTCTGGGCCCCCGGAAGGGATGATACCATCAGGCTGGTCAAATTGTTTCTTGGATTTGCCGGTCAGTTAGCTACGATGCGAATCGATATCAAGCACGAAGATGTCATGACACACTCATTCAATTCGACTGAGGATTTGCGTATCTGATAATATTATCCTGATGCCAATCCGACCCCATCAACTCCTATACGTATCCGACTGACCGAGCGGAATACCTCGTATACACTTCCAAATAAGCGGAGAAACAGACCAAGAAATTGCAATGTATCCAAACTCCAACCAACGCTCCCATCTCTCTACGTCTCGCGCAAGCATTCTAGATGCAGTATATGTAAGGGTATCCCGCTGCGTCGCCAAATCTCATCACGGCCCAGTCATGGACCTAGTCCAGCATGGACTCAACAGCCGTCTCATACTCCTCGTCACCCTTGCCCTTCTGGACGATGACGGGGTACGGCGCCAGGCCATCATCCGCCTTTCCCTTCTCTTTCTCCGTCTCTTTATCCGTCTCGGTATCACTCTTCTCGCCGCCCTCCTTCTTCTTCTTCCCCCCCTTCTTCGACTTCTTCTTCTCCACCTCGCTGTCCCCCTCATACGCCTCCCCATCCTGCTCTTCCTCCTTCTTCTCAACCCGCGTCGTCCGCGCACCCCCGGCATTAGCCTGCGCGTTGTCGAGATCCACCCCTCCCTTCTCACCCATGCCGCCCTCCTCGAGCTCACCGCCCTCCATGACGACGCGCAGCTCGAGGTCCTCATCCTTGGAGTAGACGCGCAGCCCAACCACGCAGATGGCGTTCCACGGATCAGGCTCGTTCTCGTCCTCGGTCTCGTCGCGGTACTTGCTCACCGCGGTGTTGTTGGCGGGGGGGGGCGCCGCCATGCGCGGCTTGCGCGACATGTCGTCGCTGCTGTAGAGCTCCTCCCAGTCCTCAATCGGCGACGCGCTGGATTCGCCGTCCGACGTGACGTACATGTTGGGCGCCTTTTTTGCTGGTGGAGGCGCCGGCTTTGGTGAGGGCTTGGGTAGAGGCGGCGACGGAGGACCACCGGATATCTTGGACTCGTCGGCGGGTGGTACAGGCACCTTCTCCTTATCCTGGCCGGCTGGGCTGCCGGATGACTGGGCCTTATCTTCGGGCTTGTCAGACTTGTCGTCCGATTTCGCCCTTGCATCTTTTGCGGAAGCATCCTTTGGCTCCTCTTTCTCGTCTTCTGCCTCCTGACTGTCAATCTGGACCATGTGCGGTGCGGCCTTCTCCATTGTAGGTGTGTCCGCAGGGGTCTCATCAGGAGTCGGAATTGGCGTGGCGTCGGCAGACGAGTCATCCTCGTTCCTGTCGGGCTCTTGAGACTCCTCCTTCTTGGCCTCGAGGTCCGCCTTGGGCTGTTCGCCGTCAACCTCGCCGGCCTCCTTATTTTCGGCTTTGCTGTTCCCGTCCTTGATATCCTCGGCCTTGAGTGACGGCTCGAACGACTTGGCGTCCTTGGCCTCTTCCTTGACCTCGGGCTGATCCTCCTTCTTCTCTTCCTTGGGAAGATCCTCGGTCTGAACACCCTCATCCTTAGGTTTCAGCTCCTCGGCCTGGCGCCTCTTCTCCTCGCGGGCAGCCTGCTTAGCCTCAAGCTTCTGGTTGTTCTTGCGGCCCTGTTTCTTGGTGATCTGGCGGTTGAGGTGACGCTTCTCCCACAACCGGTGGCGCTCCTTCTGGCGAGCTTCGCTGGCCTTCTTCTGGTCGGCCCTCTTGCGCGCCTTTCTGACCGCCTGGAGATGCGCAGCAGCCTTGCTGTGAGCGAGATCGTAGGCGTAGCCAACCTGCGCGAGCTTCTCGTTCTCGACGCGCTTCTTGCACTCGCGCTTGACAACCTCCTCTATACTGGGCACATCGGGGTTGCGCTCACCCGAGACGCTGATGTAGACACTGTAGGTACCAGGGAGCATGGACGGCAGCTCAATTGACACGGATCGGTCCATGAGGTAGTTGCCGTGGCTGCGGACGATGTAATCTTCCGGATCAGGACGGTCCTGCTCGTGGATGCGGAACTGCAGGCGGAACGAGTACTGGCCGTGCAGACCCTTGAAGTACCTGTTGTCGAGCTGGCTCAGCACGATGACCAGCGGGCCTTCGCGCGTCAGTTTGATGTGAAACTTTTCGTGGTACTGCGGCTTCCACGGCACGTCGACGCCAATCCACCTCTGGCAGCAGCGCCAGTCGGGGTCGCGGAACAGGCGCGTGCGGTCAAAGTGCTGGTACTTGCGCAGAAGGTCCTCGTACGAGATCCAAAAGACGCTGTCGCTGCCGAATTGGTGGCCTAGCTCTTCTTGCACTTCGGTCGTCCACTCCTTGGAGCCGTCGGACCACGCACCTTCCCAAATGCCCTTCTTGGTCTTGCCCCAAGGATTCCTAAGCTTGACAAGACGAGTGCCGTTCTTGAGCGTCCGTGCCTCCATGACGACGTAGGCATGGCCCTCCTCAATGCCGTCGCGGTCACCGTAGCCGCCGTCAAGGAGGCCGGTGCTGCAGCCAAACAGGAACTCTTGGTTGACCTTGCTAAGCTCGTTTTCCCAAAATCCGTCCAGGTCGAGGATATCTGAGGCCAAGAGCTCAGTGGTGACACCTCCAGAGAGATCTTCCAGGCCTTCACCGATCCAGCCGCCGGCCAGCGACGCATAGTCGCCGTGAGCCTTGGCGTAGGCCTTCTCGATGAGCGGCACCCAAGTTTCGTTCTGATCCTTGTTTTGGGCAAAGAACAGCGCCTTAGAGCCGGTCTGGTATGTCTTGCGGTACACGCGCTCGACGTCTTCGCGGTCAATTTGCTGCAGCAGGTCGCGCTGCATGCTCGGCGAGTCCCAGCACGGGGACTTGAGGTAGAGCTTGTCGTCGATGATGGAGTAGATCCACTCGCCGTCTGCCAATCCGTTAGTAACTAGTCCGGGCGGGTAGTGAGGGTCAAACTCGGCTCACCTCGGTAGAACACAAAGCCGTAGATGCCGATCTTAGTGTCATACTCGACGCAGATCCGCTGAATGCCGTCTTCAACATTGGCCAACCCAGACAGACTGGCCATCAGCCAACAGTCGCCGAGACTGCCTTGCTTGACGTCGGAGCCGCTGACGTTGGCCATAAAGGTTGGCTTCTCGTAGATCTCGTGGATTCGCTTCACCGCTTTGGGCACGATGGCGCTAGGGTTCATCATGGTCGACATGCTCAGATCGAACTTGTTGCGGCCGAGGCTGTTGAGACAATGGCCTTTCTCCATCTTAAGGTCCCAATCCTGCGCGTGTCAGCACGTCTGGCGTGCGGTGGGCGTATATCGGTACGGAGAGAACTTACAATATCCCAGCCAGGGTCTCGATATCGCATGTTCACCCTCCGGCACTCCTGTATGATCTTGCGAACTTTGCGGCGACATTCTTCGGCAGCGCGCTCATAGCCGGCTCTCAGCAACTCGTTGGATCGGTCTGAGATGATGGGTGGCAAGACCGGGTCGAAGGGAAGGACGGCAAGCGCCTTGTCGAACCGCTTTTTGCTGAAGCGCTTCCAGATGCGGTTTATGGTCTGCTGCGGCGGGAATTTCCGCTTTTTCTTTTTCTTGTTCGCATCGTTCGCATTGGTCGTGGCAGGAGCGGCACCCTTGTGCTTGCGGTAGTTGTAGTAGTCATCCTCGGAATCCGAGGAAGACGAATAGCCGTGCATGATGGGCAGAAGACAGTACTCTCGGTGCTAAACGAGCGGTGGTGGTCCCGAAGGAAAGGGCGGTGAAAGGCCCAGTGAGCGGCTCCGGACGACCAGGGGGGAACGAGTGTAATGTTACAGGGTATCAACGGTGAGCGGAGGGAAGACAAAAGTCGAAGCAGATGGCCCAGGTAAATTGGTGGAATATATCTATCTGTTGGGGGCAATGTAAGCAAAACTGTCCCCAGGGTCTTCCTGACAGGCTGACAAAGACGGGCGACAAAGATAGGGGTCAGGCGGTAGCCCGTCAGGGACACGGCGGGAGGCCGGCCTCGGCCTGAGGAGCGGTGGCGGATAGATGTAGTTCTAGAAACGATCGGCCGCCCCTGTTCCTGATGGGGACATGCGACGAGATGCAGGGACTGATCAACGGCACTCACAGTACAGAAAACACGGACAGGTCGTGTCAGAGAGCAACGCCCATCGACAGGTTGAAGAGTGAGATGTGCGGTGGTGTGGTTACAGAGGGCGCAGCCTGGTATATAAAGACCTCGAAGATTAGCCCCATGGCGCATGTAAGCCAGCCATCCAGCCTCGCCTGGCTGAACCGATTCGGATAGGCGCATCTGCACCCGCATCACGGCCGGGGGCAAGACGCGGACGACATTGGATGCTGGGTCCGCAGGCAGACGACCATCCTCAACCGGCCGCTCATCAGAGCACGAGAGCACGCCATGGCAACAGACCCGGCGCTTCCCCCAAAGTGCAGCATCCAGATTGGTGAATCTCGTAGTAGAACTATTGTGGCGAATGCAAAAAGCATTCCGAAACATTGGTGCTTTGAAACCGCCCGTTGACGGCCTTCAAATTGGCACTGTTTTCGCCTCGACGCCGAATCAGGTCCAGGCCGGGACTCCCCAGTCCATCGGTGGCGGGTGATGACAGGTGAGCAGCAGCGACTCCACAGGTTCGCCATTTCGCAAAATGCAGACTTGTTGGAACGGTCTCAGGCCCGACATGGCGACATTAAGTCGGGTGAGTGCAACGCGAAGACGGGAATGGGATCAATGCATCGAGGCAAGAGTGAGGCGGAGGACGGGTCACTGGCAATCAGCTGCAGCCCACCCACCCCCCACGGGTCAAATGCAGTCCCACTTTTGGGCCGACTTCTAACTTGACGGGTTCCCACCAGACTGCTGCTCCGGTGACGGTGAAACTCGGGCAGTCAACCCGATTTTCTCGTTCGATGGTCGCTCGCATATATTCTTGTGTTTTTGTCACGGGAACGTGGTCAGAATTGGTCCAGTGCCTCTCGTTACCTCACAGCCTCAGTCTCAAAGCATCCCCCTCTTGCATTCAACGGCTCCTTTCAATGTGACAGGCAGCCCTGCCGAGTGCGCTGGGCGGGGAGCCATGTTTCACCCCGCTCTGCACTGTGGGGTGTCAGGGCAGGCCTCGGGACCCCGACGTTGCATTGCAACAAACAGGGCACTTCCGAACTTCCATCACCTGCCATTTCTCCAGTGCATCAGGGTGGCGTGGCCGATAAGGCGTGCCGGCATGCCACGTCTCCAGCAGCTGATGTTGACTCGATGTCCATTCCGAAAGCAGCAGACTGTTGCCGACCGCCACGGCCGTCCAAGCCCTCCTTTCTGCCGAACCCCGGTTCGACTTCCCGACGCCAGGCTCCATGACACTGACGACAACAGATGGAGGCATGTACAAGTAGAGACAGAATCCCACACGAGCTGCACATCTCTAGGTAGACTTTAGGACGATATCCCATCCCATAGGATTCGAGTCGTCGAGGTGCACACGAGCACAGTTGTGACTTCTCAGAGTTTGTCAGCCCTCTGGTCGATGGATCAGGGTGTGGCGGTGCAGCGGCCGGCGGGACAAGCCCTGAACCGCCTGTCGAATGCAGTGAAAAAAAATGGTGACCAGCGGCTGCCCACAGCCTCCTCAACCGCTTTTTGCCTACCAGGTCAGCATCTCGTCTCATCCGATTGTTCCGTATAGGAATGCAGACTTGAGCGTTGAATTCGGGGTCCTGGCGATCAGGGTCCTACGGACTTGCACATCCACTCGCGGACTCGGGATGCAACACCCCCTTAGGCCACGATGAGGCATCCTATTTGCTGGTCACTTCCGTGCTCCCACACGCATCGCTAAAAATGGACGGTCAGCCTCCCCGTCGTCTCCGGGCTGGTGCCGTTTCCGCAGGCAGGCGCAACCAGCGAAATCCGTGCCCGGCGATGGGATGCAGTGCCGCTGACATGAGCATGGAGCCAGACAGACGGCGTCACGTTGAGGCAGAACAGCTCCTTCGTCGCAAACGCCGTGTCTCAGAAATCGAGCACAAGATCGGAGACAAGCCTGCAGTGCGCCTGCTACACCAGCCCTCGGATCGGGCCCAGGTGTCTACATACAGATCAACCCGAAAAAAATGACACATCGCGCCAACCATGAGACCGGAGACCTATTTTTGAAATCGAGTCTCTCGGAACCCGCCGAAATATCTGAACATGCTCGCCGTCCGAGAGGCAGGTCATTGCGCCGCGAACCCGCAAGCGCCGGCGCCGATCCTGCGGGCCGCAGTGGCTCCGTCCCTCATGTCGCGTTTCACGCAGCCACAGACCCCGCGCTCACACATGTCAGAGCAGCAGAACTTCTTCCTTTTACAATCCTACGGTTTCCTATCCGAGCCACTAGAACATGTCTACAATACCACTCCGTCTCTGCTACATGTCGCGGGCGATGGTATCAGCCCCTTGCCTGGCATCGCGGGATGTTGAGAGCATTGATGTTGAACCCCTGGCCAGAGACGAGATGTTCTATCATTGAACCTTCTGTTCCCCACTCCTGTTTCTCAACGTTGGCGAACCCGGCCGAGACCCGGCTTAGGTGGTCTACAAGCGCATACTTGCAAACACTTTCAGAGCACGCCTGGCAGGTTCACGTCCTCTATGAAACTCCAGGTATAACCCATCAGTCACTCGGATGTTACCAGGCTGGCCTGCGCATGGCAACCCTTGGATGGAGCATCCACGCACGACTGGAGCTGTATTTCCTGGCTGAAATTGTTCAACGCTGTCCAGCCTGTTCTTGCTAAGCACGCTGCGGATGACAGCCCAGGGACTATGCCATTGTATAGTTCGCCGGTTGAATTCCTATTAGTTGTACTTCTGGAAGCCCTGTGAATCATGAGTTATCAATGTACTCCTCGTCTATCCGTCGCTCACTCATGGAATCAAGGTTACCTTAAGAGACTCGACTGACAAGGTACCTTAACTGATTTGTCAGGACTCAACGGTGACCCAACGTTCTTCCATTGTGAGCTAATACATCTTGCGTGCTAGAACCGGACTGGAAAACAGCCAATCAATTGGACGACTCAAAACCCAGACACCATCGAATCCAACCACCATAAGGGCAGTTGATGGAACAGATTGAATCCTAAGAGGAAGAACACGAGTCTCCGCAACTAACCACAAGGCCGTCCACGGTGAATCCTGACGTAAGGTTGATGACATGAATGAATGATGTACGTAGGTTGCGTGAGAGATATCAACCGCCAGTATACCAATCACTCAGCACAGGAATCAATCAGTGGCTCCTTGGGTCATACTCCTCCCCTGTATTCATAGTGAGATGTCCAGAAAAGGATCTCGCTGGTGGGTGGATGACAGTCATAACTTCCCCCTGGCATCATGCATACCTGCCGCAAGATCCATATCCCCGCTGGGATTGTCATTGTGCTGGCTTAGGTTAGGGCAGCCGAGCAGCCACCGTATATATACGTGACCGCAGACATCAGCGCGATGCAGATACATGTACCTATGTATATGCATGAAACTTACGCACCTTGATCAGCAACAACCTCTCTCGAACCACTCAAAGGGAGCCCACCCCCAGGTTCTCTTTATAAAGCTGTCTCCGCTCCCCAGCACAAAATCAGAGAGTTTTTGCACACCACGAACGGCACCCCTTCGCGGAACTAGCTTAAATCTCTTAAATCCATGAAGGGTTCCATCACTTTTTGCTCTCCAGGTGCCACCATACTCATGATGGTTGCCCTTCAGCGTGGGGCCACTAATCCGCCGGATGGACGTAGACACGGTTGACGTTCAAGCGCCTGCTCCGCCTCCCCCGCTCGTCGATGTCGACGTCGATCTCATGGATGTGGACTTGTCGGGCGGTGAAGACGCCAACATGCTCGATATGTGGGAAGTCGCCGACGAAGACATTGTGATGGAGGATGTGGTGGACGACCAAGTTGGCGATGATGATGAGTACTTCTTGATGAATGTCGAGGGAGAAGGACCGGACTTGGACGGTGACCTCATGGACCTGACGCCGGATTAGAACAAGTCTGGCAGCGTAAGGTCATTTTTGTGTGACCACTTACTTCTTGGCCAGTGCGGCACCATCAACGTTGCTCAGGGAAAGCGCCCCGAAGCCGAGAATTTGTTGCGGAACCAATCTGCAGCAATGTGTGCACATGTGGACTGAGCCGCAGCATGGCATATCCTCGGCTAGGCTCTGATTCCGAGTCGCAGACTCTCAGACGACGCCAGCAGCACCGAAACCAAGACTTAACTTCAGAGTGAGCGATGCGGTAGTACAAGGAGGCGGTAATATTATTATTCCTACACCGCTGTGCCCTCGGGCTTGCCGGACCTTCAACAACTTACTATACAGGAAAACCGCGCCCTCGTGGGCCGGGTGAAAAACCCATATCGACAATCAAGGAAACGATCAGT